GGATGGGTTGTTGTTGAGTAGGAAGAGTTTGGCGGTTTGGATTTTGCAGGAGGTGGAGGAGAGGAAGTGGGTGGGGAAATCGCCGGCGCTTTCAGACGCGGGAGCGTGGATTTGAGGGGATTTCGGGTTTGCGTTTTGTTGTAAAGTCCGCTGCTCTGATCGATAGCGAATGCATCAGTTATGGGAATGTAGGACAGAAATTGTTCTTTCATGATTCATTATTTTGATGTTTATGTAGTACAGGAAAAGCTCTGCAGTTTCACCTGTCAGGTCATGCTATCGCAGATCTGGCTTGTACTCAATATCTTCCTCTTTCCGCCACTTCTTGCAAGTACCATACCAGTACCTTTTCACGCAGTGGTGTTTTCGCTTCGTGGTCGGCAGGTGAGTCGAACTGGGCTTGGCGGAAGTGGCGCTTGTGCTCGTCGGTGAAGGGTCGACGCAAATCAAGCCAAACCATTCTCTTGATGTACAGTCGTCATCATCATCGTCAGGATTCGATGTTGTCGCGCTCGCATGGGAAGATGATTTTGTAGGTTTGGGCGCGGCGAAAGTTGTCGTTGATTCAGGCAGGTCGTCACAGCCACCGAACCAGCCCGGCGTATGGCAGGTGGATGTCGATGTCGATGTTGTAGTGATTACTGCTGTTGTCGAGCCCGGCGCAGCACTGGTAGTCGTGATAGTATTCGTGGTAGTCGTTGTTGTCTCGTCCTTGCAGCCAAACCAGCCCGGGGTTTTGCATGTCGAGGTCGATGTGCTACTGATGCTGGAGCTGGATGTTGTCGTGGTCGTGGTTGTGCTCTCATCGAGACAGCCCCACCATCCGGGTGTCTTGCATGTTTCCGTGCGTGTTCGTGTAGTACTGGATGTGCTGCTCTTTGACGTAGTTGTCTCCGTGCCGTTACTCTCGTAAAACTTCCAGTTGTAGCAGTCCACACATTCGGTATCTGCTTCACACTTCGGAACAGTCTCGTACTTCTCCAGCACATCTTTGATCACGTTGACAATCTTGTGAGTTCCAATACCGACTCGCCATCCAAGATCTCCAACTGTGTCGTATGTGCATGTCTTGCCCGTGTGACATACACCTTGAAAGGCATACCCAGCAATAGTGCAAAATGATGAAGCTGCATTGCATGTTCCCATAAAGATCGGATCCGCGGTGTGACCAAAGTGGTGCAGTTGCACATCAGTCCGTGAATGATGTGAACCAATCTGGTATCCCGGAGGCGTTGGCAGGCCCAGTCGAGATGCAGCCATCGCGTCTGGGAACGCCTCAAATGTCAGTGTCGGAAGCCCATATGTCAAGCTCAGCAGAGAGCTGACTACGCCACCGAGAGAATGGCCTGAGAGCCAGACGTCGGAGTTTGGGTAGCGCTCGGTCACATTATGATAGAGGTCTCGCACAGCCCAGTAGTAATGACCTTTCTGTCTGAGTGATTTGACTAGGCAGGTCGAGTTGCACTGATACGTCCCTGTCATGCAATCGCAGACGTGTTTCCACAAATACTGCCCTCCTTGAGCACAACAGCAGGACCCGAAAAGATTGTCGTTGAGTTTGTCGTTGCCCGTTGTATCAGCGCCGTCGAAGATTGCAGGGGAAGTTCCTTTGTCCAAGTCAGTTCTCATTGCCGTCGAATGCCCACGCGACAAGTGCGCAGGGTTCGCAAGAAAGACATACCCTTCAAACCGATGACCACAGTAGAATTGGTCTCATCAGCAAAGATGTGCCCCCGGAGGCCATCCTTCTGCCATCCAAAATCGTCGGTATAATTGAAGCCTCCCTTAACTGGCAGCCATTCTCCATCCCATCTCGACTGGACGTATGCGTTCGCTGCCATCTTCGCGAACGTCAAGACAGTGCTCTTGTCGCTGACATTCGGCCCTGATATCTCATCCGTTGTCCATGACGAAGCTGGCAATTCTGCAGCTCTCCCATACCATTCGGCTTCTGCTAGCAAGTCGTTGATGTCCGTCTTATTCCTGGCAACCAGTCGTTGGATTCTGGTCGAAACTGCCTGTGCTCGCAGCTCGGTCGGCGCGTCTTCGATTGTCTCGCCATTATCGTATGTGACCTTTAGCCGTTCCTGGGGTTGGATGTCGATATATCGATGCAGTTTTGGGTACTCGTGCGTGCCGTGGTGATAGATGTGGCGGAGAGTCTAGATCACGATCAGTATGTGATGAGCTCATGTTCATCGAATGTACCTACAAATACATGCTCTCCTAAATCTCTAGTCCCATCGTCGCTTTGGACATCGCCACCCAAGCTCGGTGGTAGCACGACTTGCGCGGGATTCCTCAAATGCCTAGGTCTCGCCGCATCTGTGTGGAGGACGAAGCCGGTAAGCAACAGCAGGCAGGCAACAAACAGATTACGGCCAGACATGCTGGTGGCCAAGGAAGTTGGACACAATCTCCCGGCAAGAGAGGACGAGCGTAGGTGGCATCGCATCGGACAATGTTGTTGCCTCAAACAACATACACGTCCCGCCAGTGAGTGGCAGCAGTTCACGCTGTCATCGTCACGAGATGCACACTGCCCGCTCTGGCCAATGACGCACCTCGTTGCTTGTCTCGCTTATCGGGACCCACTTTCACGTGCCTGAGCCGGTGGCTTCCTTCCGCGACAGCTTGCGGGTGCTGCTGCTGCTGCTGTCATCAGAGGACGCGCGTGGTTTTGTGTTGTCGATGGGTTTGACTTTCGCATGACTGTTTGAGTGAGCTGGCCTCGTCCGCCTGCCCTCGCTCGTGCTTTTTGATGAAGGACCAACGCGGCCAGCATTCTTGCATCACCTGCAACGGGGGCCCAGCGCTGTGAGCGGAACACCCAACGCTTCCCGGGATCATGAGGTGACACTATCCATCTGCCTGAATATAGAACCACTTATAGTCTATTGCTCTCCCGCTACCCATCGCTGAAGCATCTGTGTCTCCTGAGCAGGCGGCAGCCAGAGAGGCAATATGGCAGAGACCGAAGCATCGTCCGTTGCGGCCGAGCACCGGCCACGCGCAGTACACATGTCCAGGTCCTTCACCCGCATGGCCGATAGAATGGCGGAGAGGCAGGCGGAGTCGGCGGAATCGCCGTCGAGGAAACGGGCGAGCACGCTGCGAGAGGCTGGCATACCATCGATTCCTGCCGCGAGACATATAGCGACGTCTCCCGAACTGAATGGCCAGAAGTCCTCCGCAGATGTGTTTGAGAGTCAGGAGGAGGAACATCACGAGGAGACGAAAGAGGGAGCCAGCACCCCAGGACTGAATGTGCCCAGCACGATGGACGAGTTACCCGTGGAGATTCGGACTCTTTGCGATCGCTTCCTCGAGAGTTTGTCAGCGAAGGTCCATCCAACGCCCTTGAACGCAGAACAGCTGTCGGACCTGTTTCAGGACTTCTACGAGCGAGCTGCGAACCACATTGCTACCCATATTGCTACACTGGCCGCGAGGATAGGAAGGACCACGCCGCCCGCTCAAACAAGGACAGGCAAAGGCAGGCAGAGATCAGGGTCCGGAGCGAAGAGAGGCTCGCAAGATGATGGAGCTGGTCATGCAGAGATGCTTACGGCGGCCGAAGTGGCAGATAGGAAGAAGGCGAGGAAGCAGCTGGAGCACAAACGGATTGCCATGCAGGAGGCAGTGGAGCGGGCCGTCTGTGAGAAGATCTATAACAAGATATGGAAGCACCGCAGTACAGAAGATGAAGCTCGAGACGACAAGCTGCGGTCAAGGACGCAAGCACTCTCCGTTGTTGGAATAGGGTTGAAGGAGCTGCATATGGACAAGCCGGACGTACGGCGGCTGGCAGAAGAGAAGGAAGACGACATCAACCTCTCTTTGGCACCTGCACGCGAAGCCCTGCAGCGCATGGACGATGATCACTACCCGCTTGGCAAGCTGCATCACCTTACTGCCGCTCACCAGGCCATCGTCGAGACTTTATCGCAGATCTTCCCATCCTCCTCGTCCGCCGACGAGATTCTGCCCACTTTAATTTACACCCTCATCACCTCGCCTCCAGAAGGAATCAATGTGGTCAGCAACCTTGCTTTCATCCAGCGCTTTCGCATGTCAAGTAAAGTCGACGGTGAGGCAGCATACTGCCTTGTCAACCTGGAAGCCGCGATCTCGTTCTTGGAAACCGTTGATCTTTCATCGCTGCGAGCTGACGAGCTACCTGAGGGCCCAGACGCAAAACCAATTTCAACGTCAAGCCGTTCTTCAACACCAAGGTTGGAAGGGCCGACCGCGATTGTCCTGCCAAAGAATTCCCACGCTCTCACGCCTGACGTATCCACGGCGGATGCTGCATCAGCTGAGCTCAGCACGAGCTCAAGCAGTGCCGCCAAAAGCCTGCCTTCGCCCGGTCTTGCCGCACCAAGACCTACAAGGCCTACAATGCAGCAGCGACGAATTTCCTCCATGATCGAAACGACTGCTGCTCGTGTGGATACCGGCAGACAGGACTTCCTCAATGCCGCAGACAAGCTTTACGACTCTGTCAATGGCACTCTTGATAACAGTATGCAGTTCCTCTTTGGAAGATTCAAAGAGCAAGTTGCCGACTCGAAATCCTCTTTGCCCAAGACCTTGGAGGATGCGCGTAGACTCGTTTCGGCGCCCATTAAGGGTTCGGGTGACGATGACTCCGCGAGCTTTTCTGGCCGCAGTAGTCCGGCTCATGGTGATCCACTATCGGGTGGTGGCAGTTTGCTGGAGTCGAATAAGATGCTCGAGCTTTTGGGCGGCAAGAAGGTGGTACGTGAAAAAAGTGTGGAGAGCATGAGATCGGGATCCAGTGTTCAGAGAGCTGCAACTTTTGATGCGAAGACTGCTGCTGGCGCCGCCGCCGCGAAGGAAAGGGCGACGCAACAGCCGACAACTCCATCCGGACTCTTCAATTCCATCAACCCACTCAACAAGTTCGGAATGCCTGCTTTCGTTCCACGTTTCGGCCGAGCAGGTAGTGTCAACAGCTCCTCACAACCAAGCGTGGTTCCCCAGCCTGATGTGAAGCCATCGACGTTACCTGCTGGTGCTGCAGCAGCTCAAGGAAGATTGAACGGGCTTGTAGAATCTCCTGACAGCATACGAAAGCCGAATGATTCGCTTTCGCCCTCATTGGAGAGAACACGTAGTCGAGACTCTTCAGCTGGTCTGGGCGAAGGCGACGAGATGAATGCTAGAGAATCGCTCGCAGAGCTAAGGAAACTCAAGCCGCCCAAGAAGAGATTCTTGGATATCGAGAGTGCGAATCAGCTAAAATTGGGCGAGGTCGAAGAGCTGTTATTGGAATATCGGCGACTGGCGAAGGCAATTGGAGAGGCTATTGCAAACTAGAATGGCACGGAACATTCAGCGAGGCGTTGGCAACGGCTTTCACACAAAATCATGCACCGGGCGCTTGGTCCTACAATAATAGATATTTGATGCATTCTTCGTTGCGAATGCATGGTATTACGTTCTCTTAACTACTTAAGCATGTTTCTGTTTCACGGAATTGTTTGTGAAACCGGTGGTCAGACGTTCACATGCTCTACCCCGGAGCTGGCCGATTGCCTCGTGGCTTGTGGATCCGGACCCGGCCTCGGATTGTACGCTAGTGAGATACGCCCGCTTCCTTCTTTCTTCTTCAACTGGCAAACATAAAGTGCAGCTGATGGACGCGTGATAAGACTTTTCCTTTTCTTCTTCGCTTCTTTGGTTTCGGGTCACTTTTCTCGATTTTCTTTGGTGTGGTGAAACTGTTACCATGTCGTTGCAGAAGACCCTCTATGTCGGCCCGTTCATCCATTGCAAGACTCTGACTATCCTGGATGTCTGTACGAGTGCTGTGATAGGAGTTGGTGAAGATGGGAAGATTGCATTTGTAGAAAGAGATGTGGACGAGTCGCAATTGCCAGTCAGGCAAGGGTGGGAAGATGCGAAGGTTGTGAAGATAGATGGTTCGGGGTGGTTCTTCCCGGGCTTCATAGGTATGTCTGCTATCGCCATATAGCATCTCGATGGATGATTCTGGTGGACCAGAACTGACACTTCTTCAGACACACATATTCACGCCTCACAATATCCCAATGCCGGAATCTTCGGGAAGTCAACACTTCTGGACTGGCTAAATACCTACACCTTCCCTCTCGAATCATCCTTCACAGATTTGAAGAAGGCAAGCAGAATCTACAAGCGCATCGTCTCTCGAACACTCTCCCACGGCACAACGACAGCATGCTACTTTGCAACAATTCATGTCCCAGCCACGAATCTCCTTGCCGATATTTGCCACAACAAAGGCCAACGTGCCTTCGTGGGCCGCGTATGCATGGACTCGCATCTCTCCCCTGATTTCTACCGCGACGAGACACCCGCAGTCTCTCGCGACAACGCAAAGGCCTGTATCGATCATATCCGCTCCATAGACCCCACATTCGACCTTGTCAGCCCCATCATAACACCCCGCTTCGCCCCCTCATGCTCCGCAGAAGCACTCGATCTCCTCGGCGAACTTCACAATAAAACAGGAGTGCCCGTACAGACACACCTCTGCGAGAATCATCCCGAGATCGCGCTCGTTAAAGAGCTGTTTCCAGAATCGAAGCACTACACCGACGTATACGACAACGCAGGACTGCTGACTTCGAAAACGATTTTGGCACATTGCGTGCATTTATCACCAGAAGAACGCAATCTGATCAAACTCCGCAACGCAAAGATCTCCCATTGTCCAGCTTCAAATGCGGCATTGACATCAGGATGTGCGCCAGTGAAGGAGATGCTTCGAGAAGGCATGACGATCGGCCTGGGAACAGACGTGAGTGGAGGATACACGCCTTCAATCTTGGCCGAATGTCGGGAAGCGTTGTTCACAAGTCGATATTTGTGTATTTCGAATGAAGGCGGAGGAGTTGTGAACGGGAAAACTAAGAAAACTGATGAGATTAAGTTGTCGGTTGAAGAGGCTTTGTTTGTGGCCACAAGGGGTGGAGCGAAGGTTGTTGGGCTGGAAGATAAGATTGGAGGGTTTGAGGTGGGAATGGATTGGGATGCACAGCTGATTCAGTTGGATGATGTTAGTGATGGCGAGGATGAGACTTTGGTCAATGGGGATGTAGATGGTGGTGAGGAGGCAACTTTTGCTGAGGATGTGGGGTTGGTGGATGTCTTTGGGCATGAAAGTTGGGATGACAGAGTCAACAAGTGGGTTTATGGCGGCGATGACAGGAATACAAAGGCAGTATGGGTGAAGGGACGCTTAGTGCACAAGAGGCAAGGTGCCAGTGTGTGAGAGGAGAAGCGCATGGCTTGATTACTCACGAAATGGCTCGGGTGCTGGGTTTGGGCGCTATTTGGGGAATGCTTCGAGAAGGGCTCTGGCAAGCATTCAGCAACGAGATCATGCCCGGGCATGTACATGGTGATAACAAAGATCTCTTCAAGTCGCTCACGCGACGAACGACATATTCTTCACTCTCATCTCATCGTGTATTGTCCGCAATGGCACCTGGATATCGCTTGTCAAAGTAAACACGGCACGCTACTGTTGACCTACGATTTTACATCAATGCACCAACTATTGCCGAGGGAGGAAAAGAGCATCCGAGTGCCGGGAGAACGTGGTTCGATCGAAATTGTGTGGACTCAGCTTAACATGAGCCGCTTACTACATCCAGCAGGTCAAAGGAGACCTCTTGCCCAGCTCAGCTGATACCAAGCCAAAAGCTCACCATACTCAAGTCGGACTTTTGGCTGGGGCTACTGCACGACGGCTCGCCAAAACGTGCACCTCACGCGAAATATTGGAGTACTGCAGCCACGGCACACCGACGTGGCCTTTCCAAGACTTCAAACATCAGCTGATATTTTGGGTTGTGCAGTCCTCTGAGATTCGGACCTTCCGCTGCAGCTGTGGCCTGAGTCTTCGGGCGTGACGCATTTGGAATGGATTCGGAGTTTAGCGTTGATGGCGTTTTGTGCAGCTTCCAGACAAGGGACGTCGTTTGAGAGGGAGGTGGGCGACGCGCCGACGGCGAGGACTTGGTGGGTTATAAGAAGAGCAAGACAGGTCCTTGGTGAGCTTTTCTCAGTAGACCATTGTCGAAAAAGACCCAAAAGCTTGACACAATGCGATCAATCTTGTGCGCCTCGTTCATCGCCGTGGCCGTGGCCACTGGTTCCGGAAACAACAATGCTGCCCTTTGCTCGACGATCAACAAGGTCGTTACTTCGTACAGTCAACAAGCTGCAGCAACCAAGTTCTGCAGCTCTTACCTCTCTCTTCCCTCAAGGAGCACCATCACCTCGACTGTGACCAAGTTAGTTCCGACCACATCATGTTGCAAACTTCCCTAACACAGAAGCAGCGCCGATAGCCCGCCTGTTACGGCCACAGAAACATCTTACCTCACTTGCGCAAGCCCAGTTCCAGGCCAAAATCCCAAGAACAAGAAGAAACGAAGCAACAAGAAACCCGAGCCGAAGCCAGAATGCTACTCCAAATTCACCAAGAATGCCCAAATCTCCACGGCTTGCTCTTGCCTTTCAATTCCCACGACTCCAGCAACGACAACCACGACCGTTTCATCTACCACTACGACTACTGTTACGGATGTTGCTACTCCAACAGCCTTTGGCGTCATGGCTGCAAACCTCAACAGGATGCACTGTCTGAAGATCGGCGACAATGCACCATATGTAAGTTGTCATCGCACTTCACCCCCTCAAATCATCCCGTATACACAGTAGAGCCTGCGAGCACCAGCCAGACTCGAAAGAACAACCAACACAGATTGCTAACGTTCTCCTCCTCCTTCCAGGGCAGCTTTTCAGCAGACGGCAACCCCATCATCCCCAGCACATTCCACCTTGACGCCTCGGGCCGCCTCTACACCAACGACACGGTCGACAAGAGCACTGTCTTCGCAGTTCAAGGTCCTGGCCCGGCGGTCTTGTTCGTCAATCAACCTTCTGCTACGCAGAGTAAGGTCACTTGTGATGTTGTTTACATGGTCGAGGATGGTACTTGCGAGCTGGACTGCTTGAATACTCGCGGCGAGACGGTCGAGAGTATCTGCAATAATGATGGGACTGATACGCCGGATGATATTAAGGATCCGTTTTGTCTCTCGAGTCAAACGGAGCGAGAATACGTGATGGTGAGGGTGAATCCGAAGTGAGGAAATTGACGTGGTGACCTGGTATCAGTAGTGGTGATGCTCCATCGCTGGGAGTTCTGCTTATTTCTGCTCGACTTGTGTAGAGCATGGTGGTTTGTTTGCGTACGAAGCTGCCTTTCAAAAGCGTGCATGCCTGTAGCTAGTCATCGAAAGTTACATCGGATTTGTATACCTCTCGTGCTCGCGGCAGTATACTCAACTGAATCTCAATGCGCACATGCCTAATCATGGACTGCCAGAATGATACAATGAGCATGAGAAGTGGGAGAAGGAAGGCGAGGTTTGCATGTGCTGGGCTTGGCGGAACGAGGATGGCCCCTGAATGGCGGAGAAGCCAGCTGGACCTCCACGCGCGCGTCGGCTTCACGTTCACGACCTCGACGTTTCGCTTCAACCAGCTCCAACTGTTGCCGCTCTCTTCCACCCTACAATACCTCCACAATGGCAGTCAAGAACAAGTACTCGGTACTCCTACCGACCTTCAATGAGCGCAAAAACCTCCCAATCATCATCTGGCTGCTCAACAAGACCTTCACTGAGCAGTAAGTCCCCACCTCAATACCTAAGAAAATGCGCAACATCTCCTAACGCGATTTCTTCGCTTCACAGAAACCTCGACTGGGAAGTCATAATCGTCGACGACGGCTCCCCCGACGGAACCCAAGACGTCGCCAAACAACTCATCTCCGCCTACAACACCAAATCCTCGCAACACATCATCCTCAAAACCCGCACAGGCAAACTCGGCCTCGGAACAGCCTACGTCCACGGCCTACAATTCGCAACCGGAAACTTCGTCATCATCATGGACGCAGATTTCTCTCACCACCCTAAATTCCTCCCATCCATGATCGCAACACAAAAAGAAGGTGATTGGGATATCGTCACCGGCACACGCTATGCGGGGAACGGAGGCGTGTATGGTTGGGATTTGAAAAGGAAAATGGTTTCGAGAGGGGCGAATTTATTCGCGGATACGGTTTTGAGGCCTGGAGTTAGTGATTTGACGGGGAGTTTTCGGTTGTATAAGAAGGCGGTTTTGCAGGAGGTGATGAATCGGACGGAGTCGAAGGGTTATACTTTTCAGATGGAGATGATGGTGAGGGCGAAGGGGATGGGGTTCAGAGTTACGGAGTGTCCTATTAGTTTTGTGGATCGTGTTTATGGTGAGAGTAAGTTGGGTGGGGAGGAGATTGTGGAGTATTTGAAGGGGGTGTTGAGTTTGTGGGTGAAGGTTTAGAGGAGGTCTGGTGAGGCTGATGGGATGAGATGTTGTCACTTTGAAGCGATGGCGTTTGGGGAGGGAGGATAAGCACGATGCACACCACAAGACGGAGTGCGGAGAGCAAGGCATGCATGAAGCCCCAAAATTGGCAGATTCGTATGTATCATATTATATTTCATGTTCCACGATCGATTTGCGAGCCTCACTGCTCGGCTCGTGACATCAGAGACAGTGCTAGTGCGAAGGAATTGAAGAACTTGATGTAAGATGCGAGAGAAGCACATCATGCAATTCGTAAAGGGTATCTCTAAGCTAAAAATCGCAGATAAATTACAAGATGTACAAATGGTTCCTGAGTCGTGATCATGCATCTGTGACCAACATGTAGTCCTGCGCATTGCGTCCAGTAAATCAATTAGAACAGCATACTTGCTTCCAATCTTCTCTCCACCCTCTTGCCATTGATCCCCATCTGCACTGGTTGCGCAACATCATCAAACTCCGCCAAAGCATTCGGGCCTACTTCAGGGTCCAAGCGATACTCGATCTTGGAACCCATGTTACCAAGATAGCTCCCAATGGTATGTGTAGCCTTCAGTTCATTCTCGTCTTGCACAACGACATTGAAGGAAGGCTGTGCACCACTTTCCCTCACTCGAACTTGCGCCTGGATACGACTGACGCGCAGATTTCGCTCGTAGCGGCCAGCGGCAGTGTGCTCGGAAAGGTATTCGAGGTCTTCAGTGGACAGTCTCTCGCGATAGATAGGCCGGCAGAGGCCTTGGAGCAGGCCATCGTAGTCGCATGGGACTTTGATCGAAGTGAGGCGAGGAAATTTGTTTTCTGTAATGGACTCAGCCAGCCAAGAGAGTGATGTGCCGGGAACGAGACAATCCCAATGGAGGTGCCGGAGGCTGGGAGAAGAAAGTGCCATGGAGCGAGTGGGGGTAAAGATGCCCATCGGAGGTTCGGGAGAGCTCTCTTGGAGGATGGCGAATCGTCTGAGTCTGGTGAGGTGAGAGAGTAGGGTCTGAATAGTCTGTAAGGAGACAATCTCGAGCCCGACGAGAGTCAGACGTTCTAGTGAAAGTGCGAGGCGAGAGAACGAGAGTTGCTCGATGCCTTCGTCTGTCACGCCAGACAAGCACTCAAGGCGCAAAGACTTGACTGGAGGCAGGGTCAGAAGCGAGGTATTGTGGAAGTCTGAGCGGTGAAGACCAAACACAGCAAGATGCTTCAGCGAAGGCAGTCTGTGAAGGATGGCGGACATGGTTCCTATTCCAAGATCGACGCCCGGGTCTGCAGCTATGGCCAGCGTCTCGAGATTGGCCCAGTCGTCATGACAGAAGATGAAATGCTCCAGTCCAGGCAATGCACGCGTCGAGTCTAGGCTCCAAGCATGTGACTTGAGCCTCTTGCGGCTCGCAAGCGCTTCCAGGACCGGCGTTGTTGATTCCGTAGCCGGCAAAACGAATCCACTGACTTGCTCCAGATTGTAGCAATCCCGTATGATCAACTGCAAGTGGTCCAAAGCCGAATCTTTCTTGAACGGCGCAAAAGCTTCGGCATCCAGTTGCTCTGCTAATTCGGCTCCGACTCGAATATGGTGTACCAGGAACCCCAGTCCGGATGTTTTCCGCAGAACATCCACCAAGACTTTCAGCTTGCTCTTCGATTGCTTGGTTGAGAAGGCAGAGAACCGCTTCTTCACCACCGCTTTACTGTTTGGTAGCCAGAGCTCGCGAAACAGGTGCTCTTTTGCAACTGATTGCCATTTCTTGTCCACCAGACATAGTGAGCGCAGATCCTTGCGTAGTGACAAGACGTCCACTGTTTCTTGCTGCGTATGCACATCTTCCAAATTGTCCAATATGCATTGCAGGATTTCTCTGGGCAGTTCGCCAAAAGCCTTCCGCGGCAAGTTTGATGTGCGATCTGTGCCTCGCGACCATCTTGAGCCTGGTCTTCCTCGTTCCAATTCCCATGGTGTTCTCGTCAATTTCGGGACAGTATCGAATGTGAAACTCCCAGATCTTCTCTCCCTCGGTATCGTCGGAAATGTTTGTGCCTTTTTGGGACTTTGTGGCTCTACGGTCAACGAAGTGGTTCGCTCGGGGATCGCAGGTGGGAGAGCTCGTTGGTCCATGGTAGGAATGCGCTTGCCCTGAGGTCGTCGCTGCGCACTCGGCGTGCTGATATCGCCGCTCGTGACGTGATATTGCACTAGCTTTCCCTTCGCTGGTCTGTACGGTTGTGCCTCGCCTTGCTCTGATGGCGTGACCGAGCGGAGCACGCTCGACGCGCTGGAGAAGCGCGAAAATACACCACGTATCGTTGACACATTGCTCTTCGTGCTCCCCGTCTTGCTCTGCACGCTCGGTGCTTGACTTCTCACACTTGGCGCGTAGCTCATCACATTCGGAGCCTGACTGCGTACACTAGGAGCCTCGCTTTGCACACTCTGGGCCTGACTGGTGATCGTGGAAGCTGCGCTGCTCACGCTCGGCGTCCGTTGCGGTCGTGAGAAGTTGACATATCGTCTCCCTCCGCCCACTTGAGGGGAAGCCATGCTGGCAAGGTGATTGTTGCGCTCCCACCCTCTCAAGCTATGACCCTTTGCGCCAGCTGCACAGCAACCCAATGCAACGCTCGAGATGGTGAAGTCCAGCCAACGGGAAACAATGTCGCCAATGCGGGGCTGCGTAGAGTGTACAAACAGACCAGTTCCAACGGTCGTCGCACTGCAATGGCAGCAGCACGCAACCAGCAGCGACGACGTTGCGAAAGGAGAGGTTGAGAAAGCGAAAGAGAAGGTGACGCCGCCACCGCGCGGACGCACTCACCGAATGGCCAACCAGGTACGCGCATCTCCACCGCACAGGTGCCAGCAAAGCGGAGAACGAGTAGGGCACGCTTAGCTCGCCTCTCCGTGTGGATTTACGGCCTTGCGCAAGCCCATCCATCACTTGAGATGGCGGCGCAGGAGCCTTGTGCTTGCCGTTTTGGTGGACATTAGCGACCGAAAGCACCAGCCAAAGGCTAAATGATTAGAACATCTCCCCACGCTTTGGGAGAATCGGCTGACTCGCGTGCTGCTCATCCTCCTCCTGCGCGTGTTTGGCGAGTCGTTGCAGCAGCAGTTGTCCTTTTCTTCACATCGCGTGAGTTATATTGCTGCAGCAGTAGCGCTGCATCCAACGTCTCGTGCTTTTGCAGGCGTTCAACGGCTCATCGCGCTCGTCCACAATTTGCGGTCTTGTTTTTTGCTCGGCGCAAGGCTGGGAATGGCTGGCTGACCATTCGACGCCATTCCTTGTCCAGAAAGGATCACATGTGCAATTCCTGCGCCGTCACTCGTGTCCTCGCACCGTACCTTGCAGCAGATGTGGTTGTCGCAATGAAGATCACAAATTCGAGAGGAAGAAGCGTTGCGTCGTGAAAGAAGAAAGGGCAGGCGACGTTGCTGTCGCACGAGCACAAACACGAGCCGCGTCTCCGCGACAAGGATGCCTCCTCCACCTCCACCTCCACCACAGCAACGAAGCGGTGAGCGGACCACACGCGACAAAGATACATCAAGAACGCGTTGAGACTCCAACACTCTGGCAATGGAAAGCGACAACTCAAGAACGCATGAAATAACGTCGTTTCGCTGCCATTCGTGAACAGCCATCCGTAGACCGACTAACCAACTAGTTACTAACCGCCCCATCTAGCCCTGCGCCTGCGCGAATATGCTATGATATGCCTCATCATGTTGAAGTCGAAGAAATGCCCAACAACGCCTTTTTGTTCATCAATGCAAGATCTTGCGCATCAAGACACGTCACCAAATTGCCTACTCGATAGCAGCGGCGGCGGCTTCAAGCTTCAGAGGGTTGACGTTCTCATCAGACCACTTGAACTTGAACTCCTCACCAAGCTCCTTCTTGATAGCCGTCTGCACAGCCTCGAGCACATTGGTGAACACGCCAAAGTTAGCTGGGTTGTTCTCGTCATTCTCGCCACCTTGGAAGACACCAGTGCGGACAAGACATGTGTTCCAACCATACATGTTCTGCAGCAAATGTTAGCAATTTGATCATTGACAGAAAAGGCAGCAGGGCGGAAAGGACAAGACTTACACCTCCGACGATATCCGAAGCGGGGTTGTCACCAACCATGTAAATGTTCTTGGGCAACTTCTCCTCGTTGTGGATCGTCTCCATCCAGCTGGCAATCACCTCGTCGGCATACTTGTATGTCGCCAACTCAGGCTTACCGTAGACGACACGCTCGAGGTCCTCTCCGGTCAAGGCTTTGTACATAGCCTCCAGGCCGATACGGAAAGTACCTTGCGACATACGCGGGTAAGGGTGCTCGGTAGGGCACAGCAAGTCACCTTGCGAGAAGTAGATGGGAATACGCTGCGAGACTGGGTCCTTGGCGCGTGTACCGAAGAGGCCGTTCTCGGATTGCAGGAGATCCATGATGATTTGCATGTCTGTGGCATAATCGCGAGAGTCGGAGAAGACCATGATGGCATCGATGCGGTGCTTGGAGAAGTCACGAGGGCGGGATGTCGCTCGCTCGGCGTCAGTGAAGACTCGGTAGGGAGCGATAGTTGGATCCCAGGCGATGATGTCGTTGGGCACGACGATATCTTCGAAGCCGTACTGCTCTGCGACCTCTCGGCACTTGTAGCCCTCGCCTCCAACTACGAGAACAGTCTTGTAGTATTCTGCAAGAGCGGACATGGGCGTGTGTGACTGAATGAATTGCTCGGTGCTGATGGGGTTGTGCAGGATTTTCGAGAGCTGGTCTACACGAGCTTGCTCAGGCTTTCCAGAACCGTTTGTGAGGAAGATGTGTGGGATCTTGATGCCGAGCTCGTTGTCTCCGTTCAAGATTTCCAGGACTCGCTGGCCTTCAGGAATTAATCGATCTCCGTGGACAAGCACACCATCGATGTCGAAAACGAATGCCATGTCCTTGGCTGCCTTCACCTTTTGGCTCGACATATCCTGCACTTGGCTAGCCAAAATCTCACGAGTTGGCTGGATGGGCGGCATGCCCGGCCTTTGTGGCTTGCCATCTGCGTAAGCTATCGATGAAAGTCGGGATTGACGCTTTGAACGTGGGATTGGCAGGGCTGCTCCGAAAGAGTTCCTTGAGCCTCGTCGGTCCTTCTGAGAGGGTGAGAGGGAGAGCTGGTGCATAAATGGCGTAGCATCAGCGATGCTGCTTCTGGTAGCTGGCACCTCGATGGCACCAAAGCTTCCTCTCCCTCGTCCATGGCCACCAACGCCCTCCTCTGGAGCGAGCTCAGTCGTGCTCTGGGTGTTGTTGACGACTGGAGCAGCCTCCGTGGCGAAGTCCTTGTTGTCGGTGGTAGACATGATGGCGGTATTGATGCTCGTGAATTCCTCTCAGACTCCTGGTACTGATTCGAGCTGGCAACAAAGGAAGAGCAGAAAGAAGCTGGTGGAGCTCGAATATGGGTATATGGATGGAGCTCTTGTGAGGTCACAAAAATGAAATAGGTGGGCAAGCAAGTGTCTCGAAGGACTGGTTGTCCAGGGTATCTCGTGTTTATATTCAACCTACGCCCTCCGAGCTGTTCCCCTCGAAAGGGCACGACAGCTGGCACAAACATGAAGCCATTCCGTCACCAAGCCGCCCGCCGGGATGCGATTCTCTGGCAACCGTTCATCTCAACAGACATGGTCCTTGCTGCACAAACAATGCGCGCAATGCAATGGCGTATGAGGTGGTCGATAGAGAGATCCACCCTGTTGCGGCAACGATGTCATAGTGTCTCCAACACACTATTCTCGTCCAAAAACGGTCCCTGAGTTGACACGACATGGTGCCGTCCCTGGATACGGTTTGTTGTCTACTGTTAGAATGAAATGTGGGACATGTTCCAGAAAATCATCCAGCAAGAAAGGGCAAATCCAACAAGGAGTCGAACAGCCACCAAAGAACCTGTGCAATTACTGCAAAAAGCTCGCAGATAAGCCGCAGACGCCGCGATAGTAAGAAAAAGCTTCATCATCCTACACGACCAATTACAGCGACGAAGCTCTTTTGCATATGACTCCGAGTCCTTCTCGCGAATAGTGGATCACAGAGGACGGGATGTTGCTTCTCTGTCAGAAACGTCCAGTGGCATGCAACGCTTTGAACAGTGGTCGTTTAGTGTGTTTCTATTCCTTGCCCGGGCCGAAGATTGATCTGAGGTTTGCTGTGTGGTTTTCGCCAGGGTCCAGCTTTGCGGTCGCTCTTTCTTCGGGCGGACTGAGGGTATGATATCACTCTGGAGTCCTTGGAGCAGAGATATACCAATCCACGCTGTTCATTCTTCTGTTCGTTACCGCGGACGATGGAGAATTCTTCGCAGAAGTATCCACAGCTATGACGGCCAGCATCGGAGAGCGAGGAGGGTTTAATGTGGATATTGGCGACATGGGATGTCTGGATGGTGTGACGTCGATGGACTGGTCGTTCAACGAGCCATGGATTGTTGTGTTGTTGCGGTGTGCTAAGAAGATGTTGAATGTGCCGATGATGCTGATGATGAAAAGTCTGAAAGATGAGTTTTGGAGAAAGGTGTTATCAACGCGGATGGGTAGCGGATCCGAGGAAGTGTTGCTGTTGGATTGTATTGTTCGTAGTACATCACAATTTCTTGACTCTACACATTCTTCTCTTGTTCAAGCTCAATTTCCTAAAGACTTGATTTTCTGACTCAGAGCATACCGATCATTCAAGATGTCGAACGGCAAGACTTTCACGCTCAACAACGGCGTTTCCATCCCTGCAGTGGGCTTTGGCACTTTCGCCAACGAAGGCTCCAAAGGCGAGACTTACAAAGCTGTCACACACGCTCTCAATGTCGGTTACCGTCACCTTGACTGCGCGTGGTTTTACCAAAACGAAGATGAAGTCGGTGATGCAGTAGTCGATTTCCTCAAATCCAACCCTTCCGTCCACCGCAGCGATATCTTCATCTGCACAAAAGTCTGGAACCACCTCCACGAGCCTGAAGAAGTGAAATGGAGCTTGCAGAGCTCGCTGAAGAAATTGAAAGTCGATTATCTGGATCTTTTCCTCGTGCATTGGCCAATTGCAGCGGAGAAGGACGAGAACTACAACCCCAAGTTGAACGAGAAGGGACAATATGTGATCAAGGAAGAGTTGACAAACAACCCACGACCCACATGGAGGGCAATGGAGGAGATCTATGAGTCTGGTAAAGCCAGAGCGATCGGTGTCTCCAACTGGACAGTCCCTGGTCTTAAGGATATGCTCAGCTGGGCAAAGGTCAAGCCCGCAGTGAACCAGATCGAGATTCATCCTTTCCTTCCAAACGAGGAATTGGTCAACTTTTGCTTCGAGAACAACATTTTGCCTCAGGCCTACTCGCCGCTCGGATCGCAGAACCAAGTTCCAACGACGGGCGAGAAGGTTAACACAAACAAGACCTTGAACGAGATTGCGGAGAAGGGTGGCAATACCCTTGCTCAAGTGCTGATCGCTTGGGGTATTCGCCGAGGATATGTTGTTCTGCCGAAGAGCTCGACGCCTTCCCGAATCGAGAGCAATTTCAAGAGCATTGATCTGAGCGACGAAGATTTCGAGGCAGTAAATGCCGTTGCGAAGGGTCGCCACACCCGTTTTGTCAACATGAAGGGTGACTTTGGCTATGATGTCTGGCCAGAGGATAGCCAGATCGCGGATGTTCAAAAGTAAAGGTAACAGAGTCAAGAGTCATAACGTCTTGTTCAAAGGATAAGGCGAAGATGCAAGAGCGATGGTAGATGTACCCGTGACCACTGGCGTTGAACGGATGCCTTAGCCTTGAATGGAGGATGCAGCATCTGGTCGGCTTCTGTTCAGGTCAGTCTAGGGATGGAGCCATAGTGTATGGCGTTCGTAAACGATGGCGACGATCTGCAGAGAGAATCAGTGAATACCCCGAGCGACGAATAGAAGACGGACACGAGATGAATGTGCTGTTGTGGAAGCTCTAGATATACATACAGTACCTGGCAAAAGATTATGGTCAACTTACAGTCCTTCTAAGTTACGCAAAGGTGAATTGTCATGTTGAGCACCCAGCGTGTACACTTTGCTCTCGTGACCCAGTCCCGTGCCCAACGAGGTTTGGACTTCCACTTCCTGCATGTTGGACCGGTCCTGCACAGGGCCGTCGTAGCCCACGCGTTGTCTCGTGCGGCTGGTTTTGCAGCCCAACTATCCTGAGTTGATTTGTTGCCGTGTAGCGGATGGATACCCAAGGTGATGAGACCACGATCATGCGCTGCTACTGCGCCGATTGATCAATTGCGACAAATCGTTGTTTAACCTCGCAAATCTTTACCTGCTGAGACGACGAATGAAGCTATCGTAGCCGAGTATGGGCGGTGTCAACAATTCAAGCGAAGCTTGGGAATGGAATGCGCGTTGGTCGAGATACTTCTTGCCGTTCTTGTACGGTATCTCTTCTTCCCAACCGGAGATGGATCTCACGCTCATCCCGCTCAGCATAGGCAGTCTTCTCTGGGAGATATAAAGGAATTCTACCTCTGACCCAAGTGGCATCTTTATGGTGTCCCTGGTGTGAGAGTAAGGCTGCACAATGCAAAATACCGCGATACCAGTTCTCCATGGTTCTTTGATCGTTCTTGCTTCTTCCTGTCACAGTGGAGTGAGCTTGAGACAGGTCGTCAGGAAAGAAGAACTTCAAATTCTTGAGATAGAGGGTGGCGGACGGCTTGTATGGGTGAAGAAGTAATAGCATCGCCGCGTCGGCCTGTGAGAACGCCTCCCGTATCGCTTGCTTTCTGGGATCTACAGGTCCCTCGTAGCTGGAAAAGGCAAGTGGCAATGCCTCAATGAGCTTGTCGTATCGCTCGCCATCGATTTTCTCGCCGGGTGCAAGTTCAACGTCGCCTCGGGGATTGACATTTCGAAGGCGACGAGTCAACAACTTTGACAGGTAAGTACTCGCGCCGCCAAGTGGAAGGCAGGTCAATTGCGGCATGAGCTTAGTTGCGGCGACAAAAGTATCCAGAGCGGCGTTCAGCCCGCCGGGTCGGAGCCGCTGAATTGTGCCCGAAGGCGCGGGATCCCAAGTGACACCTGCTTTCGCGCGTAGCGTAGCAGACAGCAGTCGGCCGCGCCATCGGTATCTATAAAGGCTTTCCCTCCGTAGACTCAAAGCGACGCCGGGCGGGGGTCCTTGAAGAGAGTCCGGAGCTTTCACATCAAGTTTGATCCACTGCCAGATGTTCTCCTCCCGTCCTTCGTGTAAAAGGAAGAAGACCAGATTCTCCAGAAAGCGAACGTTGTCTGCATAGCTTTCGGATGTATACAGATTGCTACGCAGCAGCCAGAGGAAGACGCGTCGACCGGGTTGAAGCTCATCCAGAAGCTTGGGCTTTCGTGCGTCGCGAGCAGTATCGTACTCTTTTCTCACATGGTCTAGACACAACTCTGCAATGCGAACGGTCGCGGCACCTTCTTGGTCGTACTCCTCAAGCAGTGCGATCGGGTCCCTTTGTGGGTTCTTTTGGAGCTCAACTTTGGCAGTGCCGAAGTCTTTGCCGCCCTTGACCATTAATGGGTTGGTCAGGACAGAAGCCATATGCTTCTGAGCCAACGCCGCGGACGAGTGCATGCTTTTGTGGCTGACATTGGGAAAACCAGCGTTTAGCTCCGGTCGAGTCTTCGAGTCCTCCGCAGCAGCTGATGGATGCACAGCGTCCAGATGTTTGCGAAAGGAGCTCGTCAGAGCTGTCAAGAGCCTCTTGGACTCGGAGGTCGTGAGTGGCGCATTGCCACTGGGATGGATCTTGTCGATGATGTTCTTCAGGCCCAGCACCACACCAGTCTTCTTCATGTTCCTGGTGTGGGTGTGGCGAGCAAACATATCCAGTACCACGCCGTCATTCGTGCTGATGCGCAACCGCACGAGTCAGGTGATGGGTGCGGTGCTGTGCGGGTGTGCGTTGGCCACGAGAGCGAGAGGCTGAGGCTGGAGCATTAGACTTTACGCGCAGGGGCATCTTCGCCAAGACCATCGCTTTGCTCCAGCTCGACGACTTCACAAACACACGACATCCTCACGATCCCACGCGTTGTTGCTTCCTTCTTTCCCCCATCACTTGCCGGTCGAAGCTGGTCTGTCGGACGCATTGCGCCACCCTTTCCTGCCGGACATTGGCTCAGCGCAGCCCGCCTTGTCCCCTCCACCTCCACCACCGCTGTCTGCAGCAGAACCAGCAGCAGCATTGCATCGGCCACGGACGCACGCACCGCTCCGCCATCTCCAGGTTCGCTCCCCGAGCCACACAATCACAATCACAGACACAATGTCGGAGACTGCACCTACGCGGGGCAGAAGCTCCGTCAGAGGAGGCCGCGGAGGCTTGGGCCGCGGCGGTCCTCGTGGTGGCAGAAAGGTCAATGGCACAACAAACGACGCAGTGGAAGAATCACTCGAAGACCAAGGCGAAATCGGCGAGATGAAGAAGAAATACCAATCAGAGCTCGTCATGCTTAAGGACATGTTCCCCGACTGGACTGATACCGACCTCGTCTTTGCGCTGGAAGAAGCTGGCGGTGACGTTGGTGCCACTGTTGACAAGATTACGCAGGGCGCGGTCTCACAATTCGCTGAAGTGAAGAAGCCCAAGGATCGTGCTCGCTCGAAAGTTCCCGCAGACGCAGCTACTGCAGGTGCCAATGACCGCTCATCTTTCAGCGCACGCGGCGGACGTGGCCGAGGTGGATTTGAAGGCGGACGTGGAGGGCGCGGTCGCGGAGGTGCCGAGCGCGGTAGAGGTGGTTTCCGTGGCGGACGCGGCGGTCACACGACCACAAACGGTGTCTCCAAGGATGCCTCTGGAGCATCTGTACCCACCACTGAGTCGACCGCCTGGGACACGCCGGCTTCAAATGAAGCATCTGGCGGCTGGGACGACACCCCCGCCGAGCCGATCAAGGACACAGTTGACACGGGCGACAGCGTCACCGGCACTGTGACTGCAGTAGACCCACCACCAGTTGCAAGCTCGCAACCAGCCAAGGCCAATGTACCAGAGCAAGGCGGTGCTAAGAAGAGCTGGGCTAGCATGTTTGCAAAGCCCAAGCCTGCTCCTGTGCCGGTTCCACAGAAACAGATATTGACGAAGCCTCAGCCTGTCGAGCCAATAGAAGCAGAAAAGTCGCAGCCGGAGCCAGCTCCAGCTGTCGCAGAGCCGCCAGTCGAAGCCCCAAAGCAACCAGAGCCCATTGCCGAAGCGACACCTCCGACCGCAGCATCTGTGCCCGTGCCGGAGCCAGCTCTCCCAATCGCAGTGCCTGAGACGACCTCTGCTCCTGTAGAGCTTCCCTCAGCAACCTCAGAGTCAGAAGGTCTTACGCTAACACCTTCAAAGGATCCATTGACTGAAGAAAATGTCGAACATTTGCCAGATGAGTCGAATCCTCCTGCCACGCAGACGGTCGCCAGCACCGCCGGCTCAGCAGATCCACGAAACCTCACCCCGCTTCCTACGCAACCCGCACCTATCGGACGACCACCAGTGGGCGGCTATGCCACTGTCGCGAATCGTCTTGCAGGTACAGGAAGCAGAAGTGCAAGCTTCCAGAGAAGAGTGCAAGAGCAGCAGGAAGCGGTGGTCATGCCTGGACACAACGCGGTTGATAGAGCTGCTGTGCAATTCGGCAGCATGGGGCTCAACGGCGAAGCTGGACCAGACGTTGACGATGAGCGAGAAGAGCCGGAGACACGACACGCTCCACAACACTCGCCCCCAGCCCAACCACGAACCTCTCTCCCTCCCGCTCCTCGCCAGGCTGCAACTGCGCAGGAACCTCTACAGGACGCGCAGCCACAAGCCATTTCGCAGGCCCAGCCCACACCGAAGCAAGCACCTGGGTTGCCTCCTGCATCAGCGCAAAACCAGCAACAGATCCAAGATCCTTCACTCGGACACGCGCCCTCCCAAGATCAGCAGTTCGCCCAGGGATACAACCAGTACGGCCGTGGTTATGGTCAACATCAAGGCACACCTGGCGGACAACAAGATACCGCTGCACCACAGCAGAAGCCCTACGATCCATTCGGCCACCAGTCCCAGCCATCGCAGTATGACCAATTCGGCCCCAACTCGCAGCAGCAGCCCCACCAGCACCAGCAGTCTGGCTTTGGCGGTCTTTCCTCCGCGCCTAACGATTATCCATCGTACTATACCAGTGACGCTGGTCGCAACTACCAGCAGTACTATGGAGGGGCATATGGTGGCCAAGACGGCAGGCAACAGCTTGGACAGCCACAAGCTCATGATCCAGCGATCGGACAACAACGTTCGGCAAGTGGCTATGGCGCAGGAGGCAACGAGGCTGCATTTGCCTCTCAAGGTATCCAGCAAGCACCATCTCGCTTCGCTGAAGCTCCTGGCTCTGGCAACAACACTCCAAACCCAATTGCTGCAGCCCAGCAGCCGCCTCAAGCTGCTCAAGGCCAGCACTCGTTGCAACAACAACCCGCGCACGGCCAACAAGGCTACAACAGCGCGGGCTACCCATATGGACACCCTTACTACAACAGCCCATATCAACAGGCATATGTCAACCAGTTCTCGGGCTACGGGTCCGGTTACGGAGGATCAGGCTATGCCGGCGGTCAAGGCGGATATCAAGGAAAGCAGCAACAGGCCGGCAACATGTATGGTGGCCCTCACAGCTACGGTTCCTCCTACGATCAGCATTCCTCATCTCCTGCTAATGCGCACGCTTTTGGCCATAATCAGCGTAGCACCAGTGGTATGGGCTCGCTCGGCGGCCTCGAGGATTATGGCCGCAGTTCTGCTGGACCTGGGTCGCATCAACAGAGCAGTGGCTATGGCAGCATGCATGATCCTTTCGCCCGCTCGGCCTCCGGCTTCGGTGCACAGGGCGCTTATGGCCAGCAGAGCATGGCTGGCCAGGAGGAGTCGCTGAAGGCATACGACAATGCCAAGAGCGGCCCATCACCTTCACTTGGGCAACCAGGACGTCCAGGATCCGCCGCCAACAGCGCCGCAGGCAACGCGCAGACTGGACTTCCGCCGCCACAGCAAGGCCAGCACTCTGCATTCGGCGGAGGCTACCCTGGGTTCTCAGGCCAAGGCAGTCAGTACGGTAGCCTTGGAGGACTTGGTGGTCACCAGCAGGGTCAGCAGGGCGCTGGCTATGGCTACGGTGGCTTTAACCAGACCTATGGTAGCTACGGCCAGAGCAGAGGTGGCTGGGGACAGAACTATGGCGCGCACTAGCATGGCGGCCACGATGAACAAGGCGTAGAAGTTTCGTCTTCGTTCAAGATCTCCAGTGCCAACGCGAAGGAGAATAGAGATGTACACGGCAGGTTCTTACCTCATCTTGGTCAGCCCCACGATTCCTCGCGGTCGTCCTCTGGAGCATTTCGACCAAGTTAGGCAACGGAAAGCTGGAGAAGCCGGGCAGCGCGCCGGACAGCCTTTGTACTATGATCATACCACACCTTTTTTGACACGTTATGCGCGACACACTCGACTCCTTTTTTCACACTGAGACACAACACATCATGCTTGCAACTGGAACTTTTAGGCGCACCGGGACGCGAAGACGAGGGGGCAGACGGTGCATTCGACGCCGCCCACCAAAAGCTGGAATAGCAAATGGGAACCTTGAATCAGGCGTTTCTTCTACCTGGGCTAGTGTAGAAATGCTCACGAGAGATTGCATGTGACAGTAGCAGAGCATTTGGCTGGGGGAATCTGTAGCGTTTGTCACGTATAGCTGAATGAATTGAAAGTGGCTGCTTGACGGCCTTTACGGCATCTTTGGAGCCTGTCATCATGCTTCTACACCTTCGTTCCCGGACTTGGGCGTCGTGGTGAAGCTGCACGTCATAAAATTTGCTGAGTAAGCCGTGAACCTCAACTCCAGCAACAGATGTCGACAAGCATACTATACCATGTGCCAGCATCCTCCTGCCTTCGGCACCTGGCAGCGAGATTGATGACATCGCACCTGCGAGTACAACTTCCACCGCTCGCGATTGCTGATGCTGTAGAACTGCCGTAAGCTGTCAAGTTTCCCAATCTCCTTTCCACCAATTTTCTCGCGCGACTTCACCTTTCCATCGACCACGAACAGCACAGCAACAACTGCACGCCATGGCCGCCCGCGGCTTCAAATCGAAATCCAAAGCGGATCCAGTCAAAGATGCGATCCCAACGCCCTTCATCAAGGCTCCCTCATCCCTCGCACCATTCCTCGATCGCCTGGACCCGTCCAAAGTCCACATCACCCACCTCGATCGCAACCCTCGCTCTGTGAAGAAGAACATCTTTCTCATTCCCGTCCTTCTCAATGGCTTCATCGCTGCCCTGCTATTCTGGCGCCTCTATTATGCAGTGCCCAAATACTACATCCTCCTACAGACCCTCCTCGGGTACTCGACCTCCGAAACTGTCGACACAGTCTCCACGACGCGCAAACAACAGATCAAAATTCTTCTCGTCCGGACTCTGACCATGGCTTTTGACTTCTTGCTATTCCGCTTCGTTGGTCCTTGGCCTCTGACCTTCTTCTTCGAACAACCTGTCAACCCTTGCTCCTACCGCTGGAAGATTGGATTTCGAGATGAAGAGGTCGTTGTACGAGTGAGCAGGAATTGGAACACGAATGATTTGATGCAAGGCGTAAAACAAGGACAAGAGAATGCTTTCTTCAAGACGAGAATATTGCCTGCCATCTCGCATGAGGAGATGCGGAAGACCGGATACTTGATGATGAATGAGAGCTGGGATTTGGAATTTGAGCTTATGGGTGATGCGGAGACACTGGTGAAGAGGAAAGAGGTGAGGAATGAGGATTTGGATAAGGTTGTGTTTGCGTTTTTGGAAGGAGGAAAGCACGGGTGGGTTATGTGGAAGTGGCAGGAGGAGGATGTTATTGAGACGAGGAGGAAGAAGGTTGTGGCGTTCAAGGAGGTTTTGACGAAGTTACAGAAAGAGTCGTTGTTTTGGAGGTGGACGGAGATTGTGGAGGAGGAGAGGGATGCTGATGGGGGTTTCACGGCAAAGGGTCAGGAGAGGGTCGTGGAGAGGGTGAAGGCTGAGTTTGAGAAAGAGGGTGTGGATTTTGAGGAGATTGTGAAGGGTATTGGTGGGCTGGATACGGTGCCTGCCTCCACTGCTGGCGCTGCGAAATAGTAATTGCTTCGATTGGAGCGTTCACATTCTTGCTGAGATACTGGTCAGTTTCGCCATGGATCATCGAATCGATTCTCACGCTGTTAAACTCCAATACTCTCAGACCCCACAACTTAGTTGCAGACTCTATTCTGCAATTGCAATGACGGAGTGCTCAAATCACCCACCACGCGATGCCTCACGATTCGATATGCGTTCGATCTCTCTCCTCGGCAGTCCAGAAGTCGCCGGCATCTCCATCTCTGAAAATATCATGATCTGTAATCAGGTCGAGTCCGCCCACCAAAAGCTGCGATCCGTCGTTGTCTTGGTCTTTGAACGAGATACGATAGCGCGGATGATCCCAAGCCACATCCAACACTATCTTACCGTGATCTGGTTGAAGGAAGCAAGGTTTCGGTCCCTTGAAGTTGTAATTTCGGCTGTCCAGATACACAACCTCCTCAAAAAGTTCGCGTGCAGTCATCTCGCCTTCTTCGAGATCGAGCAGCTTGCCACCTTGGTACTGGCAAAATTCCTCTCCGCTGCCACCCACCCATTCAACATACAGTCGGTCAATGCGCTGGAGATTCTGCTGGCCTAGACATTTAGCCCAACGCCAGAACGTTGAAGCGCCTTCATCGCTGCTAGCACCAAGAAAGATGTTTCGAGTGTAGAAGAGCTTCAGACCCTCCTCGCGAAGGAGCCGACAGCTTCGCGTGATAGCTGGCTGCTCGGCGCTCAAACATGGAGTCCAAGAGAATCCCCAGTAGGAATCGATCAGTAATGGCTTCGCTTTTGTGCTGATGACGACGGCGAATTCGAGCACACGCAGGACGAGTTCTGGTGGCAAGTCGAAGAGGCGAAAGCACTCTTGTTCGCCGGTATATTCTTGTGAGGTGGCAGTCGTGGGCGCCGTCGTGATGTCAGGCTCGTCCGACATGGTTGCGGCGCACATGCGCATTGGCATTGCTGGTTCTCGATCGCCTTGCGGTGTTGTATGGAGCTGGTGTGTGGCTGTGGATGCCAGCTGAAGGAAGAAAGCGCGTTGTGGAAGTGAGGCCGTCAGGCAGCAGTCACCATCACTTCACATCCGTCCTCACGTGGAAAGGGCGCGAAGTGGGAAGACGCGATCTACCCCTTTGTGCAGACGACAGCGGCAATACTGGACACGAGTGAAAGATTTTCAGACGACGTGATTGAAGAGTTCGGCTATCTGACTGCTCCTCGTTCAATCTCGCTGCGATATGCTTCGGACCTCGGATCCCTCGCCCATGCCTTCTGGACCTGGTCACCCACAAAATGTAGAATTGGGATTCCGACCTCTGAAATGCGGCAACGATACTTTTCGGAGAAAGACCCGCATACTGTGTGCCTTAGCTGCGATTGTCGTTGCTGTGCTGTGGCGTGCGGCTGCCGCATATGAACTTCCTTATCCTCACCTGGTTCCCTCACGACCCGGACTCCTCTCAGTCTGACTCTTCAGAGACATAGCTCGTCTGGTCGATGTTGCAGCTCTCCTCCTGTTCTGACTCTTCCTCGGAGTCAGATGCCGACCAGACTACATTGAAGCAATCCTCCCATGCTTCTTCATCCCGATATCCTGGAAAATCTCCCAATCTCCGCCATTCCGCTTGTTCACGGGACTGGTCGACGAAGCACAGCTGGTAGTACCGCCTCTGCTTAATTCCGACGGCAGTTTCCGAGGTGATTTTGACCTTACCATCTGCCATTCGCACATAGCCCTCAGGAGCTCCTCGCCACCCCTGCTCGCTTCTATGTTTTGCGACGTCGCGCTCGAAATCCGATGGCGACCATAAGTCGTCAGAGTGATACGGCTTTGCCATACCGAGTGCATCTGTCAACATCACGTAGACGCTGATCTCCTTCAAGTGTTTTGCTTGCAAGCTTGCCATCCACATCCACAAGGAGTTGATCTCATCGTTCGCGGCAGTCATCAGGAAGCGGTTGTGGCTGTAGAAAATCGAAAGTCCTTCGTTTCGCAGCCAGTGGCAGGCTCTGGTGATTGCAGGCTGCTTGTACAACTCGAAGGAAGTGTCGTAGAAGCCACAGATAGAACGTCGGCCGGGAGGGTTGTATATCAGCTTCGGCTTGTGGTCGATGCTCTGGGAGATCGAGGAGGCTGAAGGGCTTCTCTCCTTCGTCGGGGGCTGGGTGTTGTGACATTGAGAGCGACATCTCTGTCTCATGGGCGGCACTCGAATCCGCCGGCATGTCTGTGCGGAGGTATGTTGCGGTGTCGAAGGTCGATGTTGCAAGGAACGTCAAATTTCGCATCAAAGACCAGCAAACAATCTAGAGTGAGGGGACGCACGGTGACGCTACACCTTCACATGTCACAAATGCAAGCCACCAATACCCTTGCGAGTCCGGAGGGGTCTCCTCATCCACAGGCCATTTGAGAGCTGCAAAGAATTGGGAACGCTGCGTGCACAAACCGCGAGCCTGCGAAGTTACAGAATCACGACATTCATATACCTCAAGCAAACATGCTTACTAACAAGTCGGCTAGCAAATCGTCGGCTTTCGGCAGATCCACACGTATAGAGTGCGGTCGACTTGTTTTTGCCTTTCGTACGCGAGCTCCGCAGGCGGCAAGTAGGTCAGGGGTTCGAATACCGGTACCAGTGAGTCAGCTTGAATTTGTTACACGATTTGCTCAATTAAAGCTCTTACTTTTTGCCCCCGAATTGCATGCTTCAAGGTATGATACCAGTGCTCATGCAAACGTAAGACGCTCAGGGCGCCATGGGGGTTTCCTGTCCGCTAACATGTTCCAGCGCTAACACTCAGGTGTACATCACGATCGGGTATCTCGCCTCCCTATGACCAGGCACGTCGAGAATGCCGCGTAGGAATGCTATGCATTGACGCCCACTCAACACGCAGAACCCGGTCCTCCACCATAAGTCCTACGCATATTGAGCTGCGCTGGTGGCTCTCACTCATCGCCTCCGAGTTCCGCGTCTTCTACCTTGCCCGCCTTCCTCATTGTCCATCTCGCACCCAGAAATCTTTGCTGTCCCACCCAATCCCGCGTGCCTTCATCGCCCTGGAGTCATCAAACCGTGCGTATGACTCCAGAAGATCCTTGCACGAAGTCCATCCATCTTTGAACGAACCTGTGGGCTCTCGTACCGAGATCTGGAATGAGTCCGGACAGACCATAGTCTCTGAGACCTCTTTCGCTTCCACGAGCTTTTCAGCGCTCAGCACTAGCTTTCCCTGGGCGAAAAGTACACACATCCGACCGGTATCAAGCCGCAAGCACCTCGCACAGTCTGCAATAGTCATGACCTGTTTGACCACTTCTCCCCAGCCCACTTTAGCCACTCTGCTCGGTTTTGACTTTCGAGATGTCAGGAATACCGGGATGGAACTGATCAGTGAGCAATGCTTCGGCCCAATGTCTTTGAGCCACTCGCACAAAGCGTGGAGATCCAGAACTCTGCCGACGCAGTAGAAGGTGCACTCTTTGTAGAAGATCGCAAGGCCCTCTCTACGCAGGAGACGGCAAGTTCTTGTTACAGGGGGCGGGGTGGCGTCGGTCGCGCTCCTTCGCCTTCGAGGAACCGCGCGGAGTGTTTTCCTTCCTGAACTTCCGAGGATCGCAAAACGGAGAATGCGAAGCACCAACTCGACTGGCAGCTCGAACAACGGAAACGGCTTGTCTTCGAGTGGCTCCGCTTCGGCGCCGGTGTCCGCAGAAGCACTCTGGCTCGTCATTGTTGCTTGCACGAGATTGTAGTCATTCTCGGATTGAGGCTGCAGGGGGGACTCCATGTTCGCTTCACTGGGTCGTCAAATTATGTGTGGGCGAAGAAACAGAAGTTGGGCGCGAGGTCAAGCGGAACGTTCACCCAACGGTGTTGCCAAGCAATGTGCTTGCTTCATCTTTCACGTGCGCTACCAAAGGAGCTAATTCGTGACTACTTTCAATCTAGTGACGGCGTTCAAGATGTGAAAAAGTACAGGGAAGGTGTTGACCGTTCTCGAGCAGCACCTAAAATGGCCGATCTATTGCAAACCACGAAGCCTTCCTCATCTGGTACTCAACTCGTGTGCTAAAGCCCTGCTCTCCTTCACTTCATCCTTTTGGATCCACTCCCACGAAACAGTGGCTTCGCGTTGACATAGTATCTCGAAGTACAAAGCATCTGGAGATGCAGTGCCTACCCCTGACAGATGGTGTCAATGTCCTGACTTTCCTTCCTGCCCCTTGCCTTCTTCTTCGTCGCAAACCCAGAAGTCCTCCCCACCATCCGAGGGCTGCCACAACGGCTCTTTGCGACATTTCTCGAGCATTTGCGCGCTTGATACCCAGCCATCGCTCAATGAGCCCTCGGCTTCGCCTACATTCAGCTGATAGCAGCCATCCATCCGCCCACTGCCCATCACGAGCTTACCCTTTCGAAATAGCACCAAGATCTTCTCTCGTGGAATGCATGGCGCACCTGGACGCACTATCTCCTTGAATCTGGAGTGGGAATTCAGCTCCTTCACCCACTTCGCCCACACACGCCATTCTGGTTTGTAGCCCTGGATCCACCTGACCCAGATCTGGCCGACAGGAGCACGACTGGCTGGTCTGATGGTCATAACCCATTCATGGAAGTCGAACATTCCGTCGAAGCAACCCTCCATGTAGAATACGTTGTGCTTGTAGTACATTTTGAGTCCTTCTTTGCGAAGCAGGTGACAGGTCTTTGTGATGGCGGGTGTAGTAGCTGGCGTGACCCAGTCCCGCGAAGCTTCATCATGATATTCGCAGATGGGAATTGGGTTGTCTTTGCAACTGGTCACGACGGCGAAGTAGAGGACTCGTAGCACCAATTCGTCAGGTAGCTCGAGTAGCGGGAAGTGTTCGATCTGCATCGGTGTGTTGGGGCGCAGTGGTTGCTGCTGATCTCCTGCCTTAGCCAAATTGCCGTCTTCGTTCTGCACCATCTTGTTGCTCGAGTCGCAGAGGGCAGAATGAGAACCGATGCCTGGAAGCTTTGGTAAGTGTTTTGGGTTATTATATGCTACTCAGCCAAGACTTTCGAGTGAATGATGGCTATTCACCTGCCCCACAAATTCACTCCGGCTGAAGTTCACACAACACGTCATCACATGTTTGAATAAAGCTGATGGACTACAGGCAATACAGTCATGCGACCGACGAGCAGCATGCATAGATCTTATGCAGGCACGCCCATTCTTGTAAGACCGCTGGTTCCACATTTCTGCTACTGTTGACTGAACCACTGTAGACAGAAGTGATCATATTCCATGTAGTCCGTAGACTCGTGCAGGAGATTATAGCCCTTACCCCTCCGCTCACAATCTGCAATCGCGGTCGTATGCCATGACCGGATTCAGCGTCGGAGGCTCTGCGTGCTCGCTCTGCCGACCTGGTAGTATGTACAATGGCGCACCGCTAGTTCCTCCAATACGGAGACACCAAGATGCTCAAATATCTTGCCTGTCTTCGTCTTCACCCTCGTGCTTGACCAGGTCCGAAGCTGTGTTGTCTGAATCGCTGTCGGTAACCCAGAAGTCCTTGCCCGCAAACTGTCCTGGTGTGTTCGGATTGAATAGAGCGGACAGCTCAGCAACTCTCTGCCACTCTCCGCTGGTCCGTGAAAACTTGACAAACGACAATTCGTAGCACCTGTCGAGGTTACCGGATCCCAAAACCAACTTCGAATCTTGGAAGCGCACAAAGATGTGCTCACCGAATCTGGGTCCAAGGCCTGCGGCCTCTGCGCAGTCCTCTAGAAACCTCATCTCGGACAGAAACTTTCCCAACGTGAGGTCGCACAGGGGACTGTTGTCGAACCAGTATAGGTGTAAGTTTTGGATGGTGCTTGCACGCTGTAGGCCGATGTTGTTCACCCAACGAAACAGTGCCTGTGTGGATTTCCTCGTGGTACTTAGCGTGAACATGTTTTGTGTGTAGAAAAGCGGCAGGCCCTCGGAACGGAACCAGCGACAGACTCGCGTTATTGCAGGCTCTTGGTGGGCGTTGGTGCCATCGAAGATGGCGACTCGCTTGTCCTTGGAACTGATTGTAACTGCATGTTCGATGATGCGAACGACGAGCTCCGGTGGAAGGTCGAGAATTGGGAATGCGACAGAGTCTTCTGTCAAATCGATAACTCCACCATCACCCTCAGCGTTTCTTGCAGACATCATCGTGTCGCCTTGAGGTGATGAAGGTGACTTCGGCTCGTTGAGCGCGCTGGACTTCGATAGCTGGAGTGTGGTGTTGTGGTAAAGAGGTTGATCATGTAGGAGGCTACGGCAACATGGAAGTGCCTAATGTTTGTCATGGAGGGACGAACTGAAGGCAATGGGTGCCGATGCTGCTCACCGTTTTTGACTTCACATACGCGACTGCCATTTGTTCTGGCTTTAGATCAGTCCGCAATTGCCCTGCTTCTCGCTTCGTTTGGAAAGAGCCACCTTCGTATGCAGTTGCGTACCGTCGTGGCCTCTGCCAAATATTCTGGACTCTGCACGATACGATAGAGCCTCACCGACGATCTCCATGCGCCAACCTCTGATCCAGAGAAGACAAATCTGCAAGGATCGATTCTCGCCATTGCCGTCACGGCGCACATCCAAGAGCGCTCGGCAAGCTCTGGTCCGCAATGCTCTTGTAAAGTGCTGCGCCTCGATCTTCTATTGATCTGCATCACACGAATGTAATCAAGGCGTGTTCCACGAAGAAAGAACAACTACCAGATACTGACTTCCTGAGCGTGGGCTGCTATTGCTGGGTCATAACTCAAACATCCTAGGCAGGACTCCTTCGCATTCAGCCGCCGCTCTCCGTGAACCTTTTGCCCATCTCGAAGGAAGCTTGGAAGTCTAGCAGGCAGCAGTCGAATCTGACTGAAGCTTCTTGGCAAGGTGCTCGTGCTTCGAACCTTGCTGCGAGTCGCCCTCTCCGAGTCATCTGGGTCCTGACGACTTCTGCGTAAAGCTTCCGCTGCTGCTTCAACAACGAGGCAGTATCAAAGTCGTCGAAGATACCTCGAAATAGGAGGCGCCAATCCTAAAATAAGAACCCATGCACATCGCCTCTTCGGGCAAATCTCGCAGGCCTTGGCGAAGTTATCGTTGGTCCTCTTTCAGGAAATTCTCCGTCTGCAGAAAGGATCTTGGAAGCTCACGAAAGAATCTTGTTCTTATGCGGGTTTCAAAGTGATCTCCAATGAGGAGCAAAAGTTCTCGGCTAAGACTAGTCCTACCCCTCCATCCTCCAAGCCTCCTATTCGAATCCTTCGACAAAGTGGCGGCTGCTTACTAGCAACGTCGCGTAGGGCTCAGACACATCTCACAGCTTCCACGACAAGCTCTTGACGTACACTCATTTGTACGGACTGCCAGAGTCCATCGTCTTGCCTATCATGAGCGGCATACTTCATTATGGCGTGCTAGCTTTATCGCTGGCAGCTCGACTATTACTTGCAGTGCGTACAGCTAGTGGCCGTACTGTGTATCGGTGTTGAAGGTGCTAAACAAGACACAGGGTCTAGTCATTTCCATATTGAAAGTGCTGTACAACATCTCACCTTTCCATCCTCTTGCAAAGTATCCTGGACCTCTGCTATGGCGAGCATCTCGGTTCTTCGCAGCGTATCACCACTCTACTGGAGACCTCTATCAACATATTGCTGCCATTCACGAGAAGTATGGCCCAACTGTACGAATTGCTCCCGATGAGCTTGTCTTCACAGCTCCGGAAGCGTGGCCTGAGATCTACAATTCGCGTCCTCAGTTAGCCAAAACCCGCTTTCACTTCGGACAAGACGAATCTGGAAAGATCCCACAAAGCATGATAACCGCACCGGATCTCGAGCACATGCGATTAAGAAGACTAGCAGGCCCTGCTTTTCTCAACGCAGGAGTGGCGGAGGTCGAGCCAACGATGCAGCACTATGCCGAGATGCTCTGCTCTCAACTCAAAGACGCGAGCAAAGATGGGTCTCAGAACATGGTTGAATGGTTTCTCTGGGTACTCAACGATGTGATCGGCCAACTTGCACTTGATCAGGAATTCGAGTGTCTCAAGAAGCGTCGCTTGCACGAATGGCCTAGCTACCTCTTGCACATTCTCAAAGTCGGAGCCATCGTCAACCAATTCAAGCGATATGGTATGAAGATGAGCATGCTCAAGATGATCATGCCCAAAGAGGCTGTCGCAAAGCAGGAAAAGTTCTTCGATCATGCCAAGAAAGCCGTGGATGTCCGTCTCGCCCGCGAGGATGATGGAAGCTCTCCAGCCGAATCTGGCAAGCGCCCAGATATCATCGGACTTATGCTTCGCGAGATGAAGGGAGGAGACCGCCTGACCGAGAAGGAAATCCTGGCCAATTCTATTTTGATCGTCGGAGGAGGTGCCGAGACAACAGCAACGACGTTGACAGCGACTTTCTACCACGTATGCAAAACTCCACGCGTAATGCAGAAGCTCAAAGAGGAGATTCGAGGCACTTTCGCGAGGAGCGAGGACATCACGCTTAAAGCTACAGCAGACTTGCCATATCTCAAGGCCACGCTCGACGAGAATCTGAGAATCTTCCCTACTGCTAGTTACATCACACCGCGAACGACACCGAAGGAAGGCCACGTCATCGATGGACAATTCATCCCCGGTGGCACCTATGTTTCCATGGGCCAGTGGTTCATGGGCAGATCAGAGCGCTTCTTTGACGATGCGATGGAGTTCCGGCCTGAAAGATGGACGAATTTGGAGGTGCAGAAGGCATGTGGCAGGAGGGTCGATGAAATCTTGAAGCCATTTAGCATGGGTCCGAGGAATTGCGTTGGAAAGCTGTAAGTTGAGATTGGATTCTGTGGCAGACAGAAATGGTGCTGACGAGGTCTTAGGTTGGCATTGGCAGAGGCCCGCTTGATTCTGGCAAAGTTGATCTGGCATTTCGATTTTGAGCTTGATGGCGATCATGCGACTTGGGTTCAGGATGCGCGGTTCTACGTAAGTGGTTCCTTGCTTTGCTGAACAACAGACGAGAAACACTAACAGTGATCAGGTGTTGTGGGAGCTGCAACCCCTCAGGCTTCGCATTACCCCAGTTCAGTGATCTGAATGAGAGGCCGAACCGCCATTGCTGGGAGTATACATTCTAACGTTGAACTGAAGTCAGCTACAGCTATTTCTAATCTCAGTCTTAGTCAGGCCGTCTCCCAGAATTAACTAATGCTCAGCCAACACGCGACTCCTCATCAGTCTGTGCGTGACCAGAGAGCGCTGTGCAGTCCCTCCCTCGCACATTCTCACACTTGTGCGGTCGCGACCATTCCTGCTACCCCCATACCTGCTCGATGACCTCTCTCATTCTACTTCTTATTCTTCACCACCTCGATCCACTGACCAGCACCCTTCTCCGCATATCCACCCTTCTTGGGCTGCCCATACGCAACCTGATAGCGTGGCTTCTTGCCCTTTGGTGCTTTGACAAGACGCACGAAAGTCTTTGTCTTCAAGCTGACTTTAGCCTCCACGATACGCAACCAAGCCATTTCCTTGTCGAAATCCCCATCGCGTGGGTCCCATTCAACGAACAAATTCGTGATGCCCTTGATGCGGTCCTGGCCGAGTGGATCGATCTAGCGGCAGAGAGCATCGGCCCCACGAGTGCTCGCTTTTACCAAGAAGTGGTTCTGCTCGTAGAAGGCTTTGAGACCTACGCGGTGTCAGTACAAAATACTAAGATCTGGAAAGGATTCCGGGGCTGTTATGACTTACCTTCGTCACGCAAAAGGCGACAAATCCTAGTGACCGGTGGTTGAAGCAAGTCTTTGGACTTTTCTGGGTCGATTCTGACTCCGAGCGTTGGGTATGCCCACCAGAAATGAGGCTCGTCGATGTTGATGGCGCGGATCTTGATTGGATGCTTGTGAGAGCTCATGACGACGGCGTACTCGACGATGCGAACAATCAGCTCGTCAGGCAAGGCAAGAAGGCGGAAGGGTTTGTCTTCGTTTGCGCCAGTGTCAGAGTCCTTCGTCGCTTCGGGAGCACCAACACGACCGGCTGTGTCATTCTGGGATGCCGTGTCTGTGATCTTCATGTCTGCGAGATCGTGCTCAACACCTGCAACCTTCTTGGAGTGGCCAGATCGACGACCTCTGTGCTTTCGTGCCATCGTGTTATAGTTCGGTAAGGTGCGGTTGGATTTGAGAGTGTCAAGTGCTGATGTAGATGGGCGGGGCGAGAAGCAGTGCGATGCTCGTGCTGAAGTCTGTTCTTGGTGTCGGATGTAGAGGTTAAAGTCGTGCAGGACATGCAGTAGCTAAAGAATGCCAGGCGAGCTCGTGGCGGGTGAATCCGCATTCCATTCACAGTGAATGGCGGGTGCTCGCCTGCTGGAGGTGAATTGAGTCCTGACTCGGTTTGTAGGTACATGAAGAGTCAGACATATAGAAAGCGTACTGTACATAAAGCTTGTTCTGCTTATAGATGTTGCTGCCGGTGTATGGATATATATGAGCTCAGGATCAAAACTATGCTGTTCAGTAGAACCACAATTTTGGAATGAAGCCTTTGGAAGTATTGAACTGCAAATTGTTCACTATACGTTTCGGCCGTCAAGTTTGCTGTAGAATGTGAGCTTTTGCTGAACAAGGCTGCATGCATGTCTGAGTACACTGCATACCAGGATATGCCTTCTCCTGTCGCTTTGCTCTCTGTCCGCACCCACTCGCTGTCGTCCCCCTCAATTGCGACTCTGCCCTTATAAGAGCTCGTCTCCAGAGCCTCACTCCAAGCGTGATAACTGCTTCCTTCTTGTTACCATCAACTCAAACAGCGGTCATATGGTGCAACGGCTAGCACACTTCCTCACCAAAGGTTGCCAGGGACTTGAGCGTGGTCTAGGGACGTCCGAACACCGGTTGTAGCACGGCACTGCCACGTTTGGTGTCCGTGTGAAGCGAGAGATCCATGTTCGATTCATGGTATGACCAAACTTTTTGCTCTTGCTCTTGCCCTTGCCCTTGCCCTATGTGGCTCTCCTCCACAACAATCGGCGTCACCATCCCTAAGACAAGATCTAATATCTCCAGACCCTCATGCAAAACATCATAACTGCTTCCGTTCTATGACCATCAATTCAAACACCCGGCCACATGGTGCAACGGTCAGCACACTCATCACGAAAGGTGCCAGCCGAGTGTCGTTATAGCGTGGTTGTCGACCGGGTACCGGTTGTAGCACGGCACTGCCACACTTAGGTGTTCGTGTGAAGTGAGAGATCCGCGTTCGACTCGCGGTGAGGCCAACGATTTTTGCTCTTCCTTTTCGTACTCCAGACGATGGCCTCCGAGTAGCAGGTAGGTCGGTCGTTGTTTGTACCGTGATCAAGCGAGTGAGCCAGCGCGCTGGTCGTCGTCTTTTGCACTTTGTAACGGTTTTGCTGTGCGGTACCAGCATGTTCTCTTGTACAAAGAGGCATCGCCAGCGCCAGTAGGCCAATGCAACGCGCGTTCTGTGGTCGACAGTAATGAATTCCCTGTTCACTTCTCGCATGTTCACTGAGTGGTGCTTCATGACGCAACATCTCATCTTTTCCAACACTGAGAATGAGCCGGCCAGACTATACATTCGCCAATACTGCGATCAAGGTCCATAATGGCTCCGTAGTGCAGTGGACAGCATATCCAGTACAAATGAGGGCGATGCTGGGTCCCGGCTACCCGGTTGTGGCGTTCACTCGTTTGCGGGTTTCCCCAGCGAAGAACGACTGGAAGACCTACGTTCGAATCGTGGCGGAGCCAAGCTCTTTTTGCTTTTGCTTCTGGCCCTTTGCAAACCTGGAGCGAGGCTCAATTGAAATGAGGTCGGTTGGTTGCACATGTACACAAGCTGAGGGTCAACCCCGGGGCGGAACGGCGCCAGTATTCAGTTAAAAATAGGTCAGGGCGGAGGCATGGCATAATTGTACTGTTCAACCCGTATCGATTTTGCTTTTACCAGTCTGATGATACACACGCACACCAAATCCGCTTTGAAGGCCAGCCATTAATGTTTGGAAAGCAGAAACGCCGTTGGCCAACGTACTCTCCAGAAGTTATGCTACAGTTGGAGAGGATCCGTGGCCATGCGTACCCGCGAAACTCGACAGCCGGCGAGCGTATGGTGCATGGAGCCAAGCGCCAAAACCAGAGATCGCGCATGAAAATGAAACCCAGAGAAATGTGCGCATTTCGCATTGATGCCCCTCGTGCATCTTGATCCGCAGTAGAGCGCCCTCCCGCGACCAAGCAACAAGTCCATCCCGTGAGAGTACAGTCTAACTCGTGACATCGTGTCCTTCTGTGAACTTCATTATGTAGGTGCTGGTGTCGTATGTTGCGCTCCGCATCGATCCAGAGGGCGTTCTAGACACATTAGTACGCATTGAGCATGTGAAGTTTGATGAGTAATCACCAGTAAGGCCTCTCTCCATATGGCTCGCGGGCACCACCGCCGCCACCGCCGCCGTAGCCTCGGCCACCTTCTCTCGGGGGAGGGCTTCGTGGACGGCCGGCATATGGCTCACGACCATGTCCGTTGGCGTAAGGCTCCGGCTCGTATCCTCGTCGGGGCGGTGGTGGGCCGTAGCGGTCATCTGGGTAGCCGCCTCCACGTGGTGGGTAGTCATCGACAGGTGGGCGACCGCCGCGTGGAGGACCATAGCGGTCATCGCGTGGGTCACCGCCGTAGTAATCGCGCGGTGGAGGAGTGCGGCGACGATAGTCGTCGCGGCGTGGGCTATAGCCACGTGGCGGTCCTCGGCGATCGTAGCCTCCGCCACCATAGTAGTCATCTGGAGGCGGGCCATAGCCACCACGGCCTCCGCGGAAGCCAGGAGAGCGAGATCGGAAGCGCTCACGTGGGCGTGGCACATCAGTTTGAGGCTACAAGTTGTAAGCATGTGGTGGCGCCGCAACGTCGATACTGTTCCACTTACGTCTGAGATGCAGCGGACAGTAGAGCCCTTGAACTCGGAGTTGTCGAGCTTCTCCACGGCGGAAGCTAGATCAGCGGCAGTCTCATACTCGACGAAACCCTTGCCAGTGCCGCTGGGGTCACGCTCGCGGTTGACCTCGCTGTAGACAACGTCCAGGCCTGACTGACGCGCGAAATCCTTGAGATCCTGTGTGAAGGTGTAAGTGGAGGTCTTTGTCAGAGGTCGACACGATGATCGCTGAATGCGTCTGCATTTGGACCAAGGTAGCATCGACATATGCTGTAGTAGTGGGTGAGGGAGGAGTAGCTAACCTGCCAGCTGGTCTCGAATGGCAATCCAGTAATGGTCATGCGGTGGATAGTACGTCTTGGACGAGGGGCCATACGAGGTTGCTGCTCGAAGCCATCACGAGGACGAGTTGAGCCACGGGCGAATTGAACGACGAGCCGCTCGCCCATGAACTCGGATCCATCTAGCCAGCGGAAGATGTCAGCAGTCGAGAACATAACCGGGAGGGAGGTAGGGGACGGTGTGCAGCCCGAAGGCAAGTTTAAGCATGGGCGATAGCGTCGAGGGGAGACGTACGGAAAGCTACAGGGCGAGTTAGCAGGTCCAGCACCATGTTTCAAGTAGCAACGGCAGCCATTCATTCGGCGGCGTGCAGGAGGGGAGCTTACCTGGAACGACATCACGCGCATCCATGGCATCTTTGTACTCGATGAAGCCAAAGCCATTCATCAGCTTGATCTCGGTAATCTCGCCGGTGCCATGGGTGTTGAAGTGGTTCTCAACGTCGGCCTTGGTAGCTGTATCACGATTCCGGTCAGCGTTGCCAGGTCAGGACTCGGTCTGGTGGATGCGACAAAGGACGGCCAATGAAGCGCCAGCTCCGGCTCCAGTACAAGCACGAGCAAGAGCCGCAGCAGCAGAGGACATATGCGAGGCAGCGGCAGAGATGGCCAGTTCCCCTCCATCCATTTTTTCGATGCCAATATTGCGCCGGGCCACAAGCAGCTGTGTCCAACCAGAACAGGCCATCCTGCTTATCCATTGAAAGTCCACGGGAGGAGGAGCGTACCATTGCGTGGGAGGTTCCCTGTCAGGCGCGTTCGTTAGCCAGCTGTCGACCGCCCTGCAATTGCGAGCTGGCGCATCGCGCAGTTTTCGTGCGCGCGCGCCAGCCGATGCATATGCGCGAGGCAGGGAGCGGTGGTGGTCCTTACCGAGATAGAGCCTCGTGTTGCTGACACCAGATTCGGCCATGGTGATGGAGTGCGCGCGCGTGACGATGGGCGGGCGATGGGGAGAGCTTCACAGAGAGCGTGGCGTCCGGGCGCGCGTGATCTGGAGGCAGGAAGCAGGCCGGAGCCGTGGCGGGAAAGGCCTGGTAGTGGGAGATGTCGAAGCAGAAGACGGCCGTCAAATGGCGAGGCGAAAGCACAAAAGCACTCGACGTGGTTGTACGCGTCGAGGAAAGACAGAGTTGGATGCTGCACGAGGCCGATGTGGTGGAGAGGGCTCGGACGGTCGTCGCGGTGGGTGAGGCGGAAGAGGTGAGCGACAGAGTTCGCGGGCGAGTGAGCGGGAAGCGGCGAGCACAGACTGCCAAGCACCAATCATGAGCTCAGAAATTGCTGTGGTAAGCGGATGCATCTCGATTTCTGGCGTTGCCAGTCTGACTGGAGCCAGGCGCTGCAAAATTGCTGGGAAATACAGCGTTCCACGCCGTCCGCAGAATACACAACGTCGAGCACGCTGTCTGCTTGTACTATGTATATAGCCAGATTGTGCGCTGTAGAGAACAAAGCCAAGCCGTAGATCGTGAACACCATCTCTGCTTCTTCGCCATGAGATCACCTTTCTGTGCCTTTACCCCGATGCAAAGCCGCTTCAAAGCCGAGGCGAGCGTGCAATAAATGCCCTAGCAATGATGCGCATGTGAAGCTGTCGTCCACCCGCCCGCCCTCTGCTGCAACGCTCCTCCTGCACGCTTGACCGCCTCACCAATTCCTGTGGAGGTCAAAGCCGCGACAATGGCCGCTCCCAGCATCATCTCTGCAGCTGCGAGGCGGCGACTCGTTCAGCTCCCCGAGATCTCGAGGTTCACTGCCCGGACACGTGCTACTGCCGCCGCGAGCCCCATAGCTTCGAGATGTCTGACGAGGGGCTACAGGCCTGCTGCTATTACGGCAGGCCAAAGACGCGCCATCTCGAGCACGACACGACGACGATTTGCCTCCGTGGAAGATGACTGGAGCGACCCATTGCAACAGGAGCGAGAGTCTGATGAGGTGGACATATGTATCGTCGGTGGCGGCCCAGCAGGACTGAGTGCAGCTATCAAGCTGAAGCAATTGGCAAATGAAGCAGGCAATGAGGACTTCCGTGTGGTGCTGTTGGAGAAGGCGGGCGAGATTGGAGACCACATAGTGTCAGGCAATGTGTTAGAACCAAGTGCTCTCGACGAGCTCATTCCAGATTGGAGGTCTGAGGACAACCCGAATCGATTCGAGAATATCACGCCTGCCACAAAAGACAAGATGCGATTCTTGACCAAATCGAGTGCCATTCCGATCCCTGCGCCACCTCAGATGAACAACCACGGTAACTACATTTTGAGCTTGAATGAGCTGTCCAAGTGGCTAGGCGAAAGAGCAGAGGAAGTTGGCGTGGAAGTGTATGCAGGCTTTGCAGCGTCGGAAGTTCTATACACCAAGGAAGGAGCTGTTAAGGGAGTGGCGACGAACGACCTGGGCATTGGACGAGACGGCAAAGCAAAGGATTCTTTCGAGCGCGGCATGGAGTTTCATGCACGATGTACACTTCTGGCCGAGGGATGTCACGGCAGTCTGACGAAGAAGGTCATCAAGAAATATGACCTTCGCGCGAACAGCCAACACCAAACTTACGGACTCGGTATCAAGGAAGTGTGGGAGATCGATCCTGCTAAGTTCGACAAGGGCCTCGTCGCGCACTCAATGGGATATCCACTTCCGAAGGACACCTACGGAGGTGGCTGGATGTACCACTTTGGCGAGAACATGGTTTCGATTGGATTGGTGGTCGGCCTTGACTATCCCAACCCATGGCTAGCACCATACGGCGAGTTCCAGAAGATGAAGCAACACCCATTCTACAGACAGTACCTCGAAGGTGGCAAATGCATATCCTATGGCGCACGAACATTGAACGAAGGAGGCTTCCAAAGCATACCCAAGTGCGCTTTTCCCGGGGGCGCTCTGATCGGCGACACAGCCGGCTTCCTCAATGTTCCCAAGATCAAAGGGACCCACACTGCCATGCGCAGTGGCATGCTTGCCGCAGAAGCCGCCTACTCAGCTCTCTCCAGCTCCAACGATACCGAAGGCGCCGTCTTCCTTTTCGACTACGAAGACAAGCTCCGCAAGTCTTCCATTTGGAAAGAACTCAAACAAGTCCGCAACATGCGACCAAGTTTCCACACTCCCCTCGGTCTTTACGGCGGTATCCTCTACTCCGGTCTCGAAGCATATCTCTTCCGCGGCTACACTCCCTGGACTTTAAAGCACGGCAAGCAAGATCACGCCGCTACTAAGCCCGCTTCCGAATGCCAAAAGATCGAATACCCAAAGCCCGACAACGAGATCTCCTTTGATATTTTGACCTCCGTCTCCCGCACCGGAACAAACCACGAAGAAGATCAGCCCTGTCACTTGCAAGTCGCGGACTGGGATAAGCATGCGGAGAAGGAGTATCCCAAATACCAAGGCGTGGAGAACCGATTTTGTCCTGCCGGAGTGTATGAGTATGTGGAAGATGAGAGCAAGGATTTGGGCGTGAGGTTCCAGATTAATTCGCAGAACTGCGTACATTGCAAGACATGCGATATTAAGGTGCCCGATCAGGATATCAACTGGCAGACACCGCAGGGTGGGGAGGGGCCCAAGTATGTGATGACATAGTCGCGGAAGGAATGGACGGAGAAAGAGATGGCGAAAGGCATGTTTCAACAAGGTTTTAAGGCAAGAAAAATCTGGAAGTCCTCCATCGAGTGAGAAAGTGCAAGGTATTACTATTGTGTGTGTAAGTGAGTGAGTAAAAGAAGCAATTATGGTCACAGTACTTTACTCATCTCTGGCTGGCGCACACTTTTCGTACAACATGCATGCTGTGCTGAAACAGGAATTGATGAGGATCGCTGATTAAACGACGTGTATTTCCTGTCATGATGCCGTTACCTCTTCAACGCGTCCAACTAATAATTCTATCTTTCATAAAAGTAAACAAAGTATCCTGCTGAATGGCAAAAACAATCACGCTCGGCAGTAGGGCTCATGTCGTTGCGGAGAAGGCCCCTTGCAAACCATCTGAAGAGTGGTTCTCAGTGCCTTCGGCGATGAACTTCATGCTACCAAATGTTACCGCTAGGACGACAATTTACTGGTTGAGCCAAAGCGGCGAGAGTGATCGTTATTGAGCAGGAGTTTTTTGGTGGTAGAAGCAGGCTCAGGCTAGGGACTCGCGGAATTGATTTGGAATACTGTTTACTGAATCGCAAGATCAGGCTTCCGTGCTGAGGGTATCCTTTTCGGCCGAGCTCGAATGGCGAGCAGCTAAGTGATACGAAGCAAAGGAGGGACACCGACGGGTACGTTGTTTCATTGATTCGCATATATTCACACACATAAATCACACGGATAAGGCGCTCAAGCACCTTGCATCCCCCTCGCCCACCTTTCTCAAACAACCCCCTTCCTCATCTCATCCTCCAAAACCATCCCCTTAACCCCCTCCCCCCTCCAATCACTAGTCCAAACATGATCCTCCTTCTCCCTCTTCTCCGACCACTTCCACCTCTCCGCCAACTGCCGTCCCAACTCATCCCTCTCTTTACCCTGAATAACATCCACAATCCTCTCCCCAATCGTCGGCAAAAATTTATACCCATGCCCACTTCCTCCCGTCGCAACAAAAAGCCCCTTATACTTCGGATGATACGTAATCAACCAATCTCCCGAAGGAGTATCCGTATACCAACAAATCCTCGTCGAAGAAAAAGGTCGATCGGCTAGGGAAGGAACCGCATCTCTGAGAAAATCTCTACAGACTTTCTTTCCTTCGGCTGGGATATCCATATCGGGGTCGTCGAGTTTTGTTTTTGGGATTGAGACTGTGATTTTCTCGCCTGAGGAGGCTGGTTTTTCTGGGTGGGGGATTGTGACGAAATTCGCGTAGCCGTAGCCATGGCGGGCGATTTTGAGCTTGTTTTCTACGGGTGGGATAATGAAGAGGCCGTCGTTTTCGCGGAGGATTACGGGTTGGCCTTTTTGGGTGAGGCGGGCTTGTTCTTCGTCTGTAATGTCTACGAAGGTGAGGACTTGGCCTGTGGCTGAGCAGATTCCGCGTGTGTCGAGGAGTTTGGGCGTCCAGGCTCCTGTGGCGAGGATGGTGAGATCGGCGGTTAGGGTGGTGTTGTCGGCGAGTTGGACACCCAGGACGGAAGTGTAGGAGGAGTCGAAGAGGAGTCGCTGGACTTCGGCGGTTTGGAAGTGTACGCGATTGAGGGCTTCGACTTTTTTGCGGAGGAATTTGAGGCCGTTTTCAGCGTGTGCCCAGCCTGAAGTCCAGTTTACGTAGCCACGGGTTCCTATGAGACCGCCGGTGGTGCCCATAATCTTGCGAGCATCGGCTTCATTGTCGAATACGGTGATGTCTTTGCCAATCTGGAGACCGAGCTTTTCTGTGACATTTTTGAGGGCGGCTTCGAGGAATGTCTCTGCGCTTTCATTTCTGCCATTGGACATGATGGCAAGGCCTGATTGAGAGAAACGTCCTTCCTCTCCAAATTCACCTTTCCAGTGTGGCATGGCCTCTTCCATGAGCTGGGCATAAAGCACGTCCTCGTAGTCTGCACGAATAATTCTTGAACTGTCCACAGACGATGCATCTTGTGCCGGGAATTGTGTTCTTTCGAGGACGGTGATCTTGGTCTTCTTGAAGTCTTCTCGTTGCGCCAGCGCGTATGCAGTACCCAGTCCAAAAACACCAGATCCTACAATCAGTACATCTTTGGGGGCCATGGCTTGCTGTGCCGTTTGCCCGGAGGCAAAATGGCTTGCGATTTGGTGGACACGCTCCATGGTAGCAGAAATTTACAGTGCCACAGATATCAAGAGAGATGGAGGAGGAGAGTCAGAAAGTAACACCTACAATAGAAATACACCATGTCAAGCAGCTAGTCGGCCAGACCGCTCGTTAATTGACGGCAAATGTGATGCAGCGCCTGAGGTGTGGTGGAGGTTGTGTCTCACAGGGAAGTCTTTCCCGAGTGCGCTATCCAATGCCGGCAATATCCCTCGACCTCTTCTCGTTCCTTCTCCTACACACCATCACACATCATCTCTCCTTTCCGCTGCACGAATCCTCCCAGCAGCAGCATCACTTGTGACTGATGCAGCGAGTGTTACGCGTTCGACATGTAGTCGGCACTATTTCGCAGGGCGTGAAGTCCTTGCCTACGGCACCACACATCCGACGACAATTTGCATCCAGTCGGCAGCATCGGGCTCCGAACCTGCGCAATGGAAATGCCACCGCCCGTCCCGTCCAACAGGCGAAGGGCGCACCTGATGAGCAGCCTGAGCCAGCACCTTGGGTGAAAGAGGAGGGCAAGAAAAAGCCACTCGACTTCAAAAATCTGCCGCCGGGAACGGTCGGAGCTGCTCTACTGCTAGGCGGCCTCGCATACTATCTAGGAGAACTCTTCGTGGCTGCCAACAAGCCATGCGACAATCCACATATTGCCGAAATCTCCCAGCAGAAGGACGTCGCGGCGCGCTACGATGAGACGGCCGACAGTTTCGATAGCGAGGTCGGCGTATCGGAATGGCTGATGGGGATCAACAAGACTCGCGAGCAGCTGGCTGCGGGATGTCAAGGCCATGTTCTGGAAGTGAGCTGCGGCACCGGCAGAAATTTGGGCTACTTCGATGTCTCGATTGACGGTAGATTAGAGAGCCTCACTCTGCTAGATCTCAGCGCACCGATGATCGAAGTGTGCAAGAAGAAGTGGCAGGCCTTGTACTCGGAGTACAAGAAGCCAGGGTGGTTCAGCAGCACCAGCGCCCTCAATCCTGATCTCAAGATCCGCTTTGCTACTGGCTCAGCTCTGGGCGAAATGCCACTGGCACCGACTGATCAGCCGAAGAAGTACGACACGATCATTCAGACCATGGGACTCTGCAGTACGGACAAGCCGAAAGAGTTGCTGGAGAACTTAGTAAAACACTTGGACACTAGTAATCCCGATGCTCGAATTTTGCTTTTGGAGCACGGACGGAGCTATCGAGAATGGATGAACAAGATTCTGGACAATTCTGCACAGAAGCATGCCGAGTTGCATGGCTGCTGGTACAATCGCGATATTGGTGCGATCGTGGAAGAAGCTGCTCAAAATACTGGTCTGGAAGTCTCACGCGAGCGCAGAAAACATCTGGGAACTACATGGCTGTTTGAGCTGAAACCAAAGGTCGTGGCGGCAAAGACAGCCATCACAGAGCCCGTCTCGAAATCCTCCCAAGCTTCGGAAGAAACTTCGGATCAGCAGCAATCTGGTGGATGGCGCAGCTGGGTTGGACTCAAATGAACGAGGCACGCTGCCTTTGTCATCCGCCCGCACCATCGGTGTCGCCTACGATGCTTCCATTTTCTAAAAACAACGCTGCCTGCATGACGAGCTTCAAGCCCAGCGCCCAGGCCAATGCCGAAGAACTTGCATGCCCAGTTCAATGAGATAAGGTCAGTCACTTCCAATATCCTTCACAAAACAACACCAGCCGTTCATGATGACAAAACCACACTCCAAAATATGTTTCAAGACGGGGCAGAGAGCCTCGCTCATTGTTGAGAGAAAGCTTTACTGATACAACACGCACCACTTACGATCCTCGCTCACATCAGACACGAAAGAGTTTAGACCTCGCTGACTGTGCTTAGTTGATAGTGGAATCATATGTCCTATGACGGGAAACCCCGAAATGCCGAGAGACAAGGCTCATAGCGGTGGAGGATAACACAACATTGGCGGTGAATAAATATCGATGGCTGGAAAGATCTCTGTGCTTCTGCTTGTGCGTCTGCATATGCAGGGGCTCTAGTCCTTGCAAGTTGCGCTTGATTCACATGCACTCACATGGGTTTGGACCTGGAAGGTCGTGCGAGAACGACAAGAATGAGCTTTCATAGCTGGTCGAACTCGACACTGTGACAAATGACTACGTTCTATCAAAGTTCGATGATAGCGCCCCAGAAGATCTATTCCAGCATTTTCCGAAACCAGTGAACACTGTGAACATGTGAATCGAGTGGAACATTGCAGTCCTCGCATGCGGTCGTGCAACAATTATGTCTCATCAACAAGAACTCTTTTCACCTCTTGGAAGCTGATCTCGAAATCAGCGTAAATATGTGCTACAATCTTAGTTGAGGTTGTTGAGAGGTAAAGGGCAACTCCTCCGACATATCGCATGCAATGAATGATGAATGCGATATGATCGATGGAATTTCATGTGTGCAGCTGTTCGAGACACATAGCCTCACAGCACCTACAAGTCATGGCAAAGTGGCGCACGACAGGCAAGGCATTGCGTTGCACATGGGAGATTGGGAGACAAGAGAGGAGAGAAGAGGTACGAGTGGGCAGAGGAGACCGGGAGTGAAACATCCACGCAAAAAGTGTGTTTGTTAAGCATGAGTTGGCATTGGTGCACTACCCTAGCCATGCTCACTACTTGCTTCTGCGTTTCATTGGCAAAGCTCATGCTTGCCGATGCCTTCGCAGACATCTAGCCACAATCTCTCACCCACTTGCTGGGCCTCTTGCTTCTCTCGCTCACGCTCAAATCTCTCATGTGTCGTCAATCTTGGTTGAGCTCACTTTTCGTGTGAGGCTCTTGTGTGTGTGTGTG